TAACCGTAGGTCCCAGCGGAGTGGGGCTTAGGCTTCGCGCTGATCCGATCCGAGCCTGCCTGTAAGAATTTTTATTGGGAATTGGGTGCTGTACTGGTTGTTGCCATTTTTAGCCAGCGCCATTTTGCTCAGCGGTTACGAGATTCGATTCACATCACGCAAGGGTTGCGTTGCCCGAGGGTTGAACGGGGTCCACCATCACCATCTAAGGGCTGTCATTGTCATCCCCCGTTTCTGCCACCCGTGCCACCCCAATCTGACTGCAATTCGCATGCCCATTCCCATTTCTGAATAGCGAGAACCAGAGAACACGTGTCGATGATTAAATAAAATGTTTGGCAATTCGTCTGGTCAAACTCTTTTCGCATCCATCCCTTCGCCCACAGAAACTCCACTTCCACTCCGATTCCTTGCTCTTAAAACAGCAAAAGGCAAAGGGGGAATGACAGCATCGATTCGATTCGAGCTATATAATTGTATATTCTGGTCAGGGAAGGAACGGACAGTGACTCATTCCCAACAGGCACAAGAGCAGGAGTAGCCGCTGACCACAAAGCTAACCAGCAGTCATATGTACAAGATCTTGAATCGAGTTCCAGCAAGAAGTTTGAGGATAAAGATCTGGAGTAAAAGCAATCATTAAAGGATGGTTTCTCATAGGAGCTCACCAAATGAAGATAAAAATAGACAGCATAGATTGTCGAATCGAAAAACTATGTATGCTCTTTAGAAACATGTCTCTCTCTCTAAGTCTTATTTTCGGAATAAGCCGGTCACATCGTACCACTATATTGTGTATTTAGATACATACCCTCAGATACCCTCATAGAAAAATGTCATACCAAAAATTAAATTGCAAGTAAAGTAAAATGAGTCCTTTATTTTGAAGCATTAGTTTCGATAGGAAAAAAAATAATATTAATAGTTATTAGAGAAAGGAGGAGAACCTTACACTAATCGCATTTTGACATTGGAGTTCCTGTCTTACACAATCTGCAACGCTCTTTTCCCCCAAATACCCGCGAATGTCCCACTTTATTGGCTGAAAACTGTTTTATGGGGAATCTAGGGATACTATCGGGCTGTTCTCCCTTTGTACAGTTGATATTCCGATTTTAAATATAACGAGGGGGAACGTTGTGAGTTGCTGCGGACACCGCAACTCTACGGTTATACCCGATACTAAGCCAGTATGGCTCTCCTCCGGCAGACGCCGCTAATATTTAACGACACGACAAAGAGTGCGTGCGAGAGAGACAGAAAATCAGTCTGAGCGTGACGTCGGGCGCTGCGTAGCCACTGCAAATTGATTTGTTCCTTTTGGCTATAAAAATGATCTGATCTGATCCAGATTCAGCAATCTAATAGATATGGTCATTATCTATGATTCTGCGTTTTTAGTTTTCTCAAATCTGCAATATTGTGGATGCAACAGATTTTCGTCCTTTGTGGGGGCGGATGGGGGTGGGGCGAAATTCTGAGATATACGTTTTATAGTGACATCTTAAAGGAGTGTGTGTACCAAATTTGGTTACTCTAGCCTTAATAGTCTCTGAGATTTGTGGTTGCCTCAGATTTTCGTCCTTTGCGGGGGCGGAAGGGGGTGTGGCGAAATTTGGACATGAAACGGTCAAGGTCCGATATCACAGGAGTGTGGATACCAAATTTGGTTGCTCTGGCTTTTATAGGTTCTGAGATCCTTGAACTCATATTTTGCAATTGGCAAAACCGACCATGAAACCTGTGTGTTAGAGTGAGACAGAGCGAGAAAGAGTGAAATTGTTTTCGTGATTCTGGCTATAATAATTATACGATCTGGTTCAGATTTTGCACTCTTAAAGATATAGTCATCTTCTACGATTCTGCGTTTTTAGTTTTCTCGTATCGTCGAAATTGTGGATGCCACAGATTTTCGCCCTTTGTGGGGGCGGAAGTGGGCGGGGCAAAGTTTTGAAATATTTTTGGAGCAGTGACATATCACAGAAGTCTGGATCCAAAACATCGTTGTTCTAGCTCTTATAGTCTTTGAGCATTAGGCGCTGAAGGGGACGGACAGACGGACAGACGGACGGACGGACAGACAGACAGGGCTCAATCGACTCGGCTATTGATGCTGATCAAGAATATATATACTTTATAGGGTCGGAAACGATTCCTTCTGGACGTTACACACATCCACTTTTACCACAAATCTAATATACCCCAATACTCATTTTGAGTATCGGGTATAAAAATAGTGGGCCACGAAAATATTAAATTTAAATATGTACAAGATCAAATATTTTCATATTGATGGTAAGGGAAACAATTTTGTTTTTACAATTTCCACTTTCGGTGAAAATCTATTATAATACATTTTTAAATCTCGATTTCTCTGGTTGTACTTATGTATGTATGTGTTTGGGTTTTATACAAAATGGTTTGCAACAGCCTGCCCATTGTTGGACCAACTTTATTCTCCCCAACTTTCACAACCAAGAAAAGAAAAACCATGGAATTCAAAACATCATCTCCGTACAATATTCCTTACCATATATGAGCTAGACTTGCAAGTGAAATATTTAATCCAATAAAAGTCGCTTAATTAATCAATCGATGGAGAGATTAACCCTATCTTAGAAAAAAGAACAACCAGTTGTCGACAGAACGGCTATGCTTCTGCTTGTTATAGCATTTCCAATCAGTAAATAAATATCGTGCGTATGTACATATGTACCTTGAAGGGAATGAACATTCGAAAGGAGTTGAAAATAATTTACATAAATACGTCGAAAGACAAAGCTCTGCCAAATCTTGACCTAAATTTTAAACCTTTTATTCCAAACCTTCAGGCAACGGGTTAGCTAAATCCTGATAAAGTGATTCCAAGACAGATCGGTTGAGGATTGCTTCTTCCAGGACTGACAGAAAGATGGAACAGAACCACCTTCGAGAACCTTTGGCTATTCATTTCAGCCAAAAAGAACTTTCGAATTTTCCCAGATTTTGGCCAATTCAATTGGCTGGCCGCAAACGTGTGAACACTTGGATGATTGTCCAGTAATGCGGTGGATCATTTTTCATTTCACAAATTTTACAGTTATTATGAGAGACAAAGGTGGCAACAAAAGCGATAGAAAGCAGCAAAAATATCCTTTAAGACGGGGCTCGGATTCAAGGGAAGTTGAGGAGGATAATTATCTGGTTGCTGGGTGCTGGCTGTTGGCTGTTGGCTGTTGTTGGCTGTCGTGTCCTTTCGCATGTGTTCGGACAATGACATTTTTATTGATAAAAATTATGCACGCTCGAGGACAAAGGCAAGCCCTGTCGATGCTTCGTCTTAATGTTGGACAACTTGACTCAGCACAAAATCAAAACGAACGATCCTAAGACAATGGCCCAGGAGCAGGACTCGGACTCTGAGACTCCTGCCTCTCCTTCTTCATCTTGTGGCTGCTGCTGCTGTCATAATGTCTCAATCAGGCAGAGAACATGCAGATAACGGTAACGTTCGCTCTGTCGCTGTCCCAGGACCTTTGTGTACACAGTGTCGCGCTGATGGACACAGGAAAAGGATTTCTGTGGTCACCGAACTGTCATCCATCCAATGGATGGCGACAGCGACAGCCCCGGCGTCGGCTCACTTAAAACGGATCTTTCCATTTCTTTGTCTAACTCCTTCTTCAGCCATGCGTGATGGCTAGTTGGTAGGTGGGTTAACGGTTGACGGCCAACGGGTAACGGTTAACGGTGAATCCTTTGCTGGCCAGAGCCGACCCGAACCGAAACGAGCCAGAGTTCCCTTTGATGGACACCGACCGACAGACAGTCAATGAAGAAATCTCAAAAATACTCGTAACGGAGTACGAAACAAATGTTAAGACCAAATTCATTTAAATATATTGTTTTCGCCAATAGAATCGGATTTGTGTCATAGATATGGGAACTCTTAATAGATTTATGACAAACAGTAATATAATCATATTTTTGGAGGGCTTTTTGTTCAATCAACAACGGTTCACTCAGATCTAAAAAGATATGTATAAGGATAGCATGAAGTTATAATTTTTAAAGCTCACAATATCCGATGGACGTTTACGTCCATACTGAGCATTGGCTATGCAAAGTAAAATGCCCAAATTAGATTATTTAATATTAATTTGGAATCTATACATTGGACTTTCAATTCTTTAAAATATATTTTTTAACAGTCATTTATAATATCAAGGGCATTTATCATTGTTCTTCTGCTTCTGCAATTTTTTGGGTATCCAGACTTAAAATGCAGAAACAAGAATTAAATGAAAGTGGCACGGGAGTGAAATTGTATCCACATTTCAAATATATCCTAAATGTTTGTTTGGAGTATATGTTTTTTCCCCGTCTCAAATTCATTTTTTGAATCCACAAACAATGTGTGGACTCGTCAATATGTAGAGGTTTAAGCTCTGTTTGACTTTGATATTGTTTTATATGCGTTTCCCTGGATGCTGCATTTGTAGCAACCAACCTTTAGTAGAACGCCAAAAAGGCCACAGCAAGAGCAGTGCCCTGACTGGGATACTCTCACATATTCTGACGAAATTACCAATTATTGTAGCCTTTCCAGAGCCAACTGTGAAGAGTGGGCGGGGCGAGGAGACGCCCGTTTCAGCTAACGATTATTTGGCAGAAAATTTGGCAATTCTCTTAAAAAGCCAACACGACACGGACAACCAGATTCGATTCCGGCAAAATGGATTTATCTACTAAAGCGTAAAAATGCAGTTAAATTCCCTGTGGTATGTACAGGACAGGCCCCAGGTAGAAGTGACGTGACGTCCTGTTGACTTAAGATTGCGACGACAAGGGAAGAGGCGAACAAGAAACAGTATAAGGAGTGCTCATTGCAGGGTACGGTACACGGGGTACAGGATCGGATCCGAAAGACCCTCCCCGCTTTGTCAACTTGTTGCTACTTACACTAAGCCGACTGAGCTGCATAATTTTCCATAAAAAAACAATAATAACACAATGCTGGATGGGCTGCTGACTGGCATCTTTGTTTGGGGGGGGGTTACGTATCTGTACAAATGTGCTGTATGCTATAGGAACTACAGGCTCTTCTTGATGACGTGCGCCAGGTCGTAGACACCGCGCACCGCCTTCAGCTTCACGCCGGGCACATCCTGCAGCCTACCGACGCGACAGAGAACGATGTTGTGCTCCTGCAGATTGTGCCCAATGCCGGGGATATAGGCCACCATCTCCTTGCCGGTGGAGAGGCGCACCAGGACACACTTGCGGTTGGCCGAGTTCGGTTTCTTGGGCTTCTTTATCAGCGTCTTCAGGACGACGCCCTTGGCAAAGGGCTTCCCATCCAGCGGCTGGCGTGGCGGCCTCGTTTTGATGTGGGGTCCAGTGCGATGCATTTGATTTAGTGAGGCCATGCCGCGCAAGGCGCTCACATAGCCGCTCTGCATGGCTGCAAAACAGTAGAGATTCGGCATTAATGATTGGTTCAAGTCAATTCTAGCACAACTGTACTGTTGTGCACACATTTCCCAGGTCGGGGTTTCTCTCAGAGGAACAGACAAAGGGTCAGACCAGACAGTTGGCCGGCCAACGAGATTGACAATGCCCGATGGGCCCTTTGTTGTGGCTAATCTCTGTGAAAATCGAAAATGATTGTGCAGCAGCCTCTGCATCAGTGCAAAATCTTTGACAATGTTCTGCTCTGCCTGGGATCGCCAATAATTGCAGCCAAATGACGCGCATGCGCAAATGTCCAGCAATGCATCGGAGGTGAACAAAAGGCCGCTCTCCTCATGGCTCTCAAGCCTTTCATTTCATGATTGAGAGAGTATGACAATGGCGGGAGGATCCGTCGTCCATCGTCCATTCTCTGAGTTTAAATTGACAGCATTTTCAATTATAAATGTAAATGCCACACACCGACCGACGCGCTGGTCGACGATCGCAGGTAATAATTTCCATATTGCGGATTTTAAGCAAGAGCTATGCTCGACATTTAGATACAAAGGAAAAAGGGCGGGCAAAGAATGCCGGACAATGGCCAGTGCTGATCCACACCTGTGGCTGTGGACCGTGTGGGTCCGGTCAGTGTTTGTTCGGTGTGTTTCATTGTGCTGGCCATGCAAAATTCCCATTGTCGATGCTGTTTGCGATATTTTTTGGCATTTGACAGCACTTTCGCTAGCAGGGTTTTAATTATTTTTTTAATTAAAACCCATCAGGGGGACACATGGGAAAGCGGCAATGAAAATATTCACAAGCAGCAGGCTCGTGGAGGTGGAGGGCCCGTTCTCGAAATGGATGTGGAAGCGAGCCGTAAGCAAGTCGGCCACGCGCACACGGCCGAAAGAGTTGCGATTGAATGCTGTGCTGCAGTGGGCACTGCACATTGAAAAACAAACACTTTATACAAATCATTGTGGGCACGACGCGACAAGGATCGCTGGATAAATACTTGCACAGACGTCGAGGGGGAGAAATGCGCACAGTCATTGATTGTAAAAACAGAAGACCAGACCAGACCGATCCTGAAGGGGCTGTCTGGAGGGACCCTCTGCAAAATAGATAGGACAGTCAAGTTTTTGGCCAACTTGCAGGCAAACTTACCCTGCGCCGTCAATTGTTTCGTAATGCTGAATGTTTGCCGCAGGAAGTTCATGTTGTTGCTGTGACGTCGGTATCACTTGCCTGTTTCCAAGTTTAATTGGTTAGTGTCCAATCAGTCGGTAGTGTGTAAAATTTGATAGTTAAGCTCCTTTTTAATTTATAAAGAGCTTGAAATTAGTAATTAATAAAAATATATTATTGTGTTCCGCGGACTTATCGATAAGATATACGGTCTGACCCTGAGAAATATACCGCAAATATACTGACGAATTATTTGCAATCAAGCTGCACAATATCATAATTTTATTAATTTCCTGCATGACTGGTTAATTTCAAGTTGTCATATTTATTGAATTGCTTATAAAATAAGGTTTAAACAGAAACGGTCAACAACAATTTCCACAAAATGAATTTCCTTACAGGGTAACAGCTGGCGTGTAACTACACATGTTATACATTTTAACTACATATTTATGTAATTACCCTAAGCGACACCTGGAGGGGAAATGAGTACGTTTCGAAAATTTTTGTTCCGTTTTTTAATTTTTGTATAAGCCACATGAAAGCCCACCGTTATCCACTATTTGAGTTTTTCTTATGGCAAACAATTAGAAATTCGATGCTGATCACGAATTAGTACTCGATGTGGCCTGAGACATGGCTCTAGATGGCATTTCTACACAGTTTCTATGTTGGTGCATTGCACAAGAAGGTGAGTCCATAACGCGCTTTCAAATATACTAGAAAATACTGTGAAAAGTATAAACACTTGCAAGGTGTGTTTCCCTAGGGTATGCCGAATGTTGCGCATCCCGCGCCATGGTGTGCGCCAAATAGAAATTGTTTGATAGTGAATGAGCGAAAAGAAATCCATTGATTCCAATTATTTAAATGATGCACGTAGGTACGATTTGAGAGCGAGTATTCAAAAAACCTGAGTATTAATGTTTCTATACCTTTGGCCATTTGTAAGTACTGTTTAATTTAATTTTTTGTATAAAATGTGGTTTTAAAAAAGGTCTGCAAAACTTAATTTTTTTCCGACATGGCAGGGATGTACACAGAGATGAATTTTCGTGTGAAGCTTATCGCCGTTGTTGTTGTTGTCCTGGCCATTTTTTCCGAGCCCAATTTGAGGTTGGGTTAAAATCAAATTATTTGTAAAGAAAGCAAAAGTTAAATTACCCTGATATACATAGATGTCAAGTTTATGTTAATGCCTCCATAAGTCATCTATTTTTTTTCCTTTTGCAATTAAGGTTCGTTTCGTTGTATAAAAAGCCGTTTACTTTTCATTTCGTCAACGAAAATGTTTTCGCGGTTTGAAAACGAATAAATCTTGCGGAATGAAAAAACGGGAGCCCCAGTTTATGTGTATTCAAAAGTAAATCGGAAAACGTTTGTGAATGTGAAAAACGGAGCCGGGCTGATTATAATCAAAATCGCGCATATGTACATATAGCTTGCAGCCGACCTCTGTAATGGCTTGGACTAGATTCAGAAGACGCTGTCGAACTCCTCAATGGAGTTTTCTAAATAAATACTGAATTTTACCAAATATTTAATACCCAAACTATTGGATTGAGTGTGTGCAATAAAAGCTATTAAATTTTGAGTTTCCTTGTTCCATTGTTATCCTTAAAACAGCTCTACGACATCGTCCTCGATTTCGAAAATGGAATAGTCGCTGGTGCTACCGAACATCCACCAGTGGCGCAGTATGTTGCGAATGAGCAGGCAGCGCGTCGTCACGAACTCGAAGAAATGGAAGAAGAGAGCGCTGGAGGTCAGCAGGGCACAGGAGGCGATGAATACCTCCTGGACGGTGAGCTGTTCGGCGCTGCCCTGGTTCAAGGTCTCCATGCACTGCAGCACCTGTACACAAGAAAATAAGCGCAGATAAGCAGTGATCGGGCCACGAAACAGGAGGACCGTGAGCAGACGACTCGGCCGGCAAGGAGCACAGGCGGTCCTCACCTGCTGCAAGATGATGTGTCCCAGCGGCATCAGCGAGAAACTGAACATCACGTGCTTCACAATGAGACCACAACAGCGGCCACACCAGAAGGTGCGCATCATCTTCTTAACGCTCATCCGCTCCTCGGATAGATCGAAGACAGCATTGCAGATCTCGCAGCGATTGTCATGGCGGTGGACGATCCATCGCCGCAGGCACTTCAGGTGTATGTAGCCCTGAAATATGATCACCATATGACATAACAGCATCCCCTTAGCCCTCTCCCGCAACTCTCTCTCTATCTCTCTACCCCGGTATCACTTACCACACTGCCCTTGCACTTGCACGGACAGTTGATGATCTCCATATCACTTCGGTTCCAGCGGCAGATGCGGCATGAATTTCCGTTCTCGTTGGCTGAGTGAACGCTCTCCTGCAATTGCGAGTGCGCTCCAAACGTTGGAACGCTCGTCGGCAGGGGAGACGGATCACTGTCTATGACACCATTTGCCGCAGAATCATAAGCGACCTGGCTGCTGGAACCAGGTTCGGTGGCAGCCATCTCGGGTGCCGTCGCCGTCGTTGACGTCCTCCTGTCGCCCAGAACAGTGTTGAACAAGCGACAAGCCGTTGACTCTGAAATGACGGGAAGCTGCTGGCGATGGGCCATGCCAATCGGCTCCTCCCAATGTGTGTGGTCTTATAGGGGCAAGTCCTGGTGGCGCGGTGTGTAAATACTAAATTTTCATTTTTACATCAAATTTTGCACAGACATTTTACAGTACGTCAGACGTCAGATAGTCATTATTCGGTTTGATTCCTGTTCATGTTTTGTTTTAAATTTCTAAATTTTACGGCAAATACCCAAATTTACCCAAATTTCCATACGAAATGGGAATCAATCCAAATCCATAAAAAAATGAAAATAAATATGGAAACGGGAACACATGAAGTTACATAGAATATGTTTATTATTACAGTAGTAATTCATAAAGGTTAGTAGCCGAAGATCTCGTTCTGAGAAGATCTTCGCGTTGCTTCTGCTTCTTCTTCTCCGATTTTACAATTAAAATTATGACAAAGAAATAAATCAACAATTATTGCATAGTTTCTGCTGCGCGTTCGATAACAAATAATAATGTGTAATAGTAATAATAATAATAGTAAAAAATTAAACAAACAAAAAAAAAACGTACAAGTTGCTGGTTCACGTTAGACGAGCCTGCGCTGCCATTTGCGGTTCCGTTTTACAGTTAGATTGGGTGTCAAGTGGTTGTGTGGTGCGGTCCTTGGGTTGCGAGTGGGTGAAATGCTCAGTTGTGTGATGGTCTCGTTTGTGGGCAGGAGGAAACTGCTTAAAATTTAATGAGTGGTTTGCTGTTGCTCTTTCTATTGAGAGTTGTTGAGTTGACTGCTGTGACCTTTACTTCCTTGCTGCTTCTTTGAGGGCGCTGCGATGCTGATGCTGCTGCTGCTCACTGGCAATTGCGGAAACGACGATATATGCTCTGGACATAGACAAAAACGCACTTCCAATCGGGGCGGCTCATCTCCACCATATCCTCCACATCCAGCAGCGGCGCTATGCCCGCCTTCTCGCTGTGGGTAAACGTGAAATTAAAGTTACATTACAGTCACGATAATACAGTATATCAGTACAGTACTCACTCAGCAACACTGAAGGCCACCTCAAAGTTGTGTCTGCGCGTCTGTTTGGTTAGTGTACTGTAGTCAAAAGCATCTGGCAAGAAATGGTGGATTAGCGCACAAAAGGCCAAGCCGTCTGACCAGCTCGAGCTAAAGTTGCTTATTTGAACGTTCTGTGGATAACAGGCAAAACAAATTCGAATGAGTCGGCTCGGAGGGGGGCAGTTTTTGGGGAAGCGAACGAGCGATCGAGCGTTTGGTTGATATTGGTTGGTATTTGTTTTGATGGCGCCTGAGCAAAAGCATTAGGTTCTCCAGCCCCAGCCCAAGAAGTGAAACAATCAAACTAAATGAACAAAAAAAGTTAAGCGGCAACAGTCGGAACAATAGCAACAACAGCGGCGGCAGTAGTGTAATTCGAATGGTAAGCGGTAAACAGTAAACGGTAAAGCAGTATTCGGTAAGCGGCTACAATCAATAAAGCAGTCCAGACACACCTAAACTGCTTGCTTCCTCTCATGCTTCTTTAACTGCTTTCATTGCTTCATAATCTTCTTCGTCACCTGCTTCTACTGCTTGCTTGCTTGCGTGTGTGTGTCTGTATGCAGAGGCGTGTGAGATCGTGGTCTCGGTGTGCGGCTGTGAGTGTGTTTGTGTTATGTGTGTGTGCGTGTGTGTGTGTGTGAAGGAAGCTTTCAAGCGCTGTTAGGAGCTTTTTCTTGTTTTATTTTTAAATATTTGTTTTAAGCTGATTGTTGGATTTGTCGTTAGGTGTTTTTTTGTTTGGGTTATGGGCAAACTAAAATCGGAACGAACGAAACTGTACAAGTAATAAACAAGGAAATCAAAATCAAAGATAGGGAATAACACAAAAATTAACGGTGCGTGGGTCTATGGCTGTGGCTTTCGGCAATTGCGTTTGCGTTTTGGCTTGGCTCTTATATTTTTTTGGTTTTTTTTTTGTTTTGTTGGTTTAGGTTTTCGGATACCTCGTATTCCTGCGTTTTGTGCTGACACCACTGCAGAAGCTGATCCTTGACAGTGGCAGCGCGCGCATTTAATGCCGGATCGGTAAATTTGAACAGCGGCTGTGACGAACCGCCGCCGGGGGTCGTGGGTGTGCTTGTTGTTGGAGATGATCTGAACAAAATGATTCAAGGTGGGAGGGTGGCAGACGTTTTAGCGAAACTCACACAACAAAATAGTTTTTCATCTTCTTAGGTTCTGTTTTTGTTTTGTAATGTATTGTATTTTTTTTTTTACTTATACTGAGTGTTCGATTTGTGTTTGTATTGGTTTTAGTTCGTATGTGTTAAGGTGTGTGGGCGTACAAAAGTGTGGGTTTGGATGTGTGTGTGTGTGTGTGTGTGTATATATTCTTTTTGTGTTAGCTAGAGAAAAACAACAAAAGATATTTAATAACTTGAAAGTGGAACAGCTAACGCCGATCTCATGTTCGTTTATGTCTGGAAACACAGAAGATCCAGTAAGATACAGAGACAGATACATATAGAGGAATAGAGGGAGAAAGACAGTCAGAGAGAGAGCGAAGTGCAGAGAGAGAGAGAGAGGGATCACTGATTTCACATAGAGGACAGACAGGCATTCACTCTCTCATCAACATAATCTGAGCTTTGCTTTTGGGGACAGCAACACTACAACAAAACCTTCATGGACAGAAAGAGCACAGGAACAGAAACAGCCACCATAAAGGATCAGATCAGATCAGACGTACCCAGTGAGAGTATCCGCGATCGTTTAGAGAGTGGGTGAAAAAGTATGCTTGTATGTTGGATTTCAGGCGTGTGCATGGGTGTTGGTGTGCGTGTGGGTGTCGGTGTGGGTATGGGTATGGGTGGTGCACCAATAACCAATGTGTGGGTTGTGGGTGGGTGAAGGGCACGGAGAGGCAATCAATCACAATCGCAGTTGGAGCCCTGAAAAGTGGGCAATAGCTGTGGGCTCTGGTATTGATTGCTTTCCCTCCCGCCACAACTCGAATTAAATGTACATATGTATGCATGTTTGTATGTATATGTGCACTCACTACAATATGTTTACATGTACATATGTGGTTTATATGTAAGTTCTTATGTGTATAATATATGTACTATATGAAAATTGGAACTTACTTTTGGGCTTGTTGGGCGGCCGCCTGCTTATCAAGTTGCTTGAATTTGGCCAAGGGCGAAATGTTCTTCGAGGCAGCGCTGCCGCTCACCGTGCGCGTGGTAACTGTAGTGAAGAGATAGAGAGATACATACATATCAGTGCATGCAGTTCATGGTATATTTATACAAGGTGAGGAGCTCTCAGAGATCTTTCCCTAATAGTTTGGACAGCCGCCTTGCCTTCCTTCACCAAGGCGTATTTTTGAGCTCTCTCTTCAGATTTTGTATCCATGCATCTCATACTTAGTACGCAAAAGGATCAAAAACTGAATGGAGCGAGGTGGGTCGGGCCCGTTGTGCCGCTCTCTTACCTTTTGTGGTTGTTGTGGTGACGCCATCCTTCGACTTGGTCTCGCTGCGCTGTTCGCTGGTGGTGGAGCTCTGCTGCCTGTTCTGCTGCGCTGCTGTGTGTGAAGAGAGTTTTTAGTGCGTTTTGATCGTGTGTGGACAGGCGGCAGGCAGCGCGAGGAAAAGAGAGAGAAGCAAACATTACAATGATTAGTTGGGTCTGGGCATGCACAAAGTAAAAATCAATTACATAACTATTTGAATACACAAAAAAGTAATCAGGTGAGAAAATCAATCAACATTGGTGGTTATTCATATTACATATGTGTTTTGTATCTGGCAGGCAACAAAAATGTACGTTACACACTACGGAACGTGGAAAACAAAGCACACATTCGTTGGTTTCCTTTATTTTTTGCTGTTTGTTGGTTATGTTGAGCGCTACATACAAAAAGGTACAGCTACGAAGTTATTCAAAAAACAAGAAAGGCAGGCTTCGGTGACTTCCGAAGCTTTCGATACCCTTGCAGATCGGCATTGTAAATATGTATGTAGATTTTGATCAAAATTGAATGTGTTATGCTAAGACTAACTACTATTTTATTTATTATAGGTATGTGTCTACTGAGGAACAGACAGACGGACAAACAATGATCAGGATTACTTGACAACAGAGTGCCTTCTGCTAGGGTGTAGTAATTGCATAATTTAAGGCTACAACAGACGTACATCTGCTGGTGGGTTGGCAACTCTGTCTGAAGCATGTGCCCCCGCATTATCCCAGCTAAGAAACGCACTACGCACATGGAACGATCAAAAACGAGGAGGGGAATGGTGGGTGTTATGGCAAAAAACAACACAAAATGGCAGCGCAGATCGTCGCTGATGGTGTGGCTGAGGTGGTGGTGTGGTGGTGCGGCGGCTGCTGGAGTTTGGAGTTGGTTCGGTGTGGCCAGCTCTGTCGCTGCTGGTGTTTTACTTTGCTTATGCTAATGGCTACGGGATACTCGTAATTTACATAGTATGTATGACATGCACGATTATGGCTACGAACAAAAAAAGGTAAAAACGAAATAACGAACGAACGCATGCGGTGTATGGAGTAGGGGGGACAGGAGCAGGTCAGCAGTCTGAGCGGCAGCTGCTGTCGACAACAAAAATCAAATGAAAAATCATATACAATTTCTCCTCATCTCAAGTGGGTGGGTGGGATTCGGGTGTGCGTATGGGGGGAAATATATGTACAAAGAGAGAGAGAGAGAGAGAGAGAACAAGAGAGAGCGAGAGAGTGGGGAGGCAACAAGGGGTTTAATGCTTCCGATTTGTGCTGCATTTTGCGCTGGACCAACCAACCAACCAACCAACCAATCAACCAGTCAGTCAATCAATTAACTAATCAATCAATCAATCAACCAACCAACCAATCAACGAACAAAAGAGAGCAAAACGTTTAAGAACGGAACGAAAACTAACGAAACATAACGTAACGCAACGAAATGGGTGGTACAAAACGTAAGGAAACGAAACGAAACGCATAGGGAATAAGCGACACATTTTTAACGGTTTGTCTGTCTGTATGTCAGTGTGTGGGTTCTGTGTGGGCGAGTGGGTGGAGAAATATACAGGCAATATTTACACACATATACATATATGCAAACCATATAAATATATTAGAATATAGTATATACGGTACAGTACACTCGTTGACAGCTAATTGTGGAAACTTTGTTCCTTTTCAAAATTCCATTTTAACACGAAATTTATATTTTAACTTAATTCAAATACGTTAAAGCCTCTGAAGTTTCTGAATATATCAGGATCTATTGCCCCAAAATTATGCTTTTGAAATCCAGAACGCATTCAAATTAAAACTGATTATTAGAATCTCTTCAAACATGATAAATCATACGAAATGAAAGCCTAACCTGAATCTCATAAATTCTGAAAATCTCTTAAGCACCCGGCGTGTCGATACTACTTTGATTCAAAAGATCTTAACGCAATCAATAAACAAATGGACCTTCTGGGGAGTGTTTCTCTCCTTCTTTTACCCCATGAAAATACTGAATGAAATCGGTTCAACTTGGTTATAGTCGAGACATTTGTCATCCTGTGAGGAAGCTTCTCAACTTGAATAAGAACGATGGTCGGACTTTCAAACTATCCCCTGTGGCATCCTATGAAGAGATTGAAACTAGATTTTGTGAAATGTAGCAGGAAGCATCGGAACATCGGACCCACCCAAAATGCCCATTTTCACTAAAATCTTGAATATATACCGATCTTATACATAATCGTAATGGCCAGTTCAAGAAAACGATATATGGTCTGGTGATAACAATAATAATGGGATTATAGTATTACTTATATCCCTCGTAGTATGTACATCCGAGCATATACATCCGAACACCCTCTGGAATATCAATTAGTTGTCAAAGACTGTACATACATATGTACTATATGTGTTAGGCTGCTGCGGTGCGGTTGTGGGAGGGGCTTTGGTTTAGGCAAAAGTAAGTTTCTTGGTAGTACAACGCTTTCGGGAGTATAAAAACGGGGGATTTGCAGGGGGACGCAGGCTGCTGGCTACTGCTGCTGGCATTTTTGTACAATTTTTTTGATTGGGCGGTGGCGTGCTTTTTTCGGTGGTTTCAAAACTCACGAATCTCTGTAGTTGTTGTTGCTGTTGTTGTTGTTGCGGCCTCGTTGTCCTACTATTGTTGTGTGTTGGGTGGGGTGTATGGTGGATGGTGGTGGGGCAGTGCAGCAGATCATTTTTTTTTTCTTGTGAGGTTAGTGACCCTCTCTCTGCTGCATAAAGTCTACTTTTTCTACTGGTCAGAATCTTAACTCTATCTCTTACTGAGAGAGAGAGAGCGAGAGTGAGTTGAAACAACGAAACCGCAAGAGAGACAGAGATAGCGAAATGTGTGTGTGTGGGATTTTTGGGTGGGGTTGGTTCTGCTTCTGAACTTAAACAAAAAAAGCTAATCCTATGCTCAAAGCTCAGAGAGTGAGAGAGAGCGCGTGGGAGAGAGAGCCTGAGCTTGCTCTCCAGTAATCATTAATCAGTACAGTTGCCTTTACAGTTAAACAGTTGTAGTTCTGTTTCGATGTCGATTTCGATTTCTATGTCGATAACAATGTCGATATCGTTTTCTTTGCTTGTTTTGTTCCTTGCGGAATGCCTGGCGCGCATATGTTTTTTTAGGTGTTTTGTGTGAGTGTGTTTTGTGCGTTTCTGTCTGTCTGTCTGTCTGTCCGAGTGGGTGGGTTGCTTGGGGCTGGTTGGATGGTGAGTGGTTGAGTGGTTGTTGCATGGTTGCGTGGCCACGCTTCTAGGCCCCCATCATCAGCTGCTCGAAGGCATCCTCCACATTGCTCTCGTCCAGAAGATTGAGATTCGCTATGTGCGGCATGGTGGCACTGCGACTGAGCCCACCACCGCCGCCGCCGTAAGCAGCCACACCACCAGCATTGCCGCGACCCAGTCCCAGTCCAGCGGTGGACACGTTACCATTGGAGGTGCTGGTCAGCGAGCTGAGCGACTTGCGGGCCGCCGCCGACAGCTTCTCGCTGGTCTTTGTCCGATTGATGGCGGTCCTCCGACTGGCGGCAGACGAGCTGCTCGTGGAGGTGGTTGTCATTGTTGTGCGCAGCTCCTCTACCTGCCCACCCGTGGGCGACTTCTGTCCGGAGAAGTAGGCAGCCACTGTGCGCTGCTTTTCGCTGACCTGGGCCTTATCGATACCCGCCTCGTAGAGCTTCGGCACGGCCAGGGAGTGGCCGGACTTGCAGCGCCGGAGCTCCCCGGGTCCCGTGGCGAGTGGCTGGCTGTACTTGGGCTGGCCCTGACTCAGTCCCAGTCCGCCCTGTTGCTGCTGGCAGATCTGGTTCCAGGAGTCGCACTTGCTCAGGCGATTGATGCGGGATCCGGCTGAGCCCTGCTGCTGCTGCAGCTGTTGGACATCCTCGTCCTGGCTGCGGCGGCTCATGGAGCTGAAGGCACTCACATTGTTGAACACTATATTGTGGGGTATCTCGTCCTCGGGCGGCACCTGAGACATTGGCTGTGGCGTTGCCGGCGTCTCCACGATGCTGGGCTTCTGCTGCTGCTGCTGATGCACCACTGTGGTGGAGGTGATTACGGAGGTTGTAGTTGTGGTGCCGGCGCCGGCGCCACTCTGCTTATTCAGCTGCGGGCTCTGGTACGCATTGGGCACGTAATGGTGCCTCTGGGGCGGTCCAAATTTCTTCAGCAGCGGTGCATTCTCCTTCGGCAGCGACGACTTAACTATGTCTGGTGTATCCGCCGGTGCCGAGGACTTATACTCCTCGTGCTGCTCGTAGTAGGCCATCCGCTGGGCGGTCTCCCGCTGCTCCAGCACGTTGCCCAAACTCTTTCGCCTCAGTTCGTTGAGGCGCTGCAGCTCCTTCTGTTGCTGTTGCTGTTGCTGCTGCAGCTGCAGTTGTTGCTGTTGTGTCCGGACGGAGATCGAGGAGCTAAGCGACTGTTGGGACATCACACGGTTCTTCAGGGGCTGGTTATGGTTGGTTCCCTCATATCCGGTTATGTCCTCGCCCTGGATGGTGTGGCTGCGCGTGCTCAAGCGGGGCCGGCTGCTGCCGCTGTTGGGCGGCGCCTGTATCGGCTTATGGACTGGAAAAAGCTGCGGTTTCGTGCTGCGATCGACTGGCGGTGGTGCAGGTGTGGGTACGGATACGACTGTGGTCGGTACTGCGACTGGGACCGTGCTGTGCATTGGATTTGGTGTCCAGCTGGTGCTCCCCAATGACAGCGAGGAGCTGGCATTCGAGTGCTCCGAGGTGCGACGCATTCGCTGGCTGAGCGACATGGACATGGATGACTCCGGCTCGTGCTCGTGTTCATCCCCGGACTCGTCCAGCGGGTAGGTGACCACGTACGATGTGTGCGTCTCCCCCAGGTAGCCTCCGCCTCCGCCCCCCACATCGGATCGGGTCTGTGGCGGTGTGTAGGTGGGATTCGCTTGGTAATTGATCAGCTGAGGAGGAGCCACAGGTGCCACACTGGTAGGAGTGCCTGGCAGTGAGGCGGATACTGGCGCATACTGGGGCTTCCGCTGCGGCTCGAAGCTGCTTATCTGCGGGAAGAGAGGCTCCACCATTGGGGCCTGGTACTGGCGACCGTCCGGCGATAGACATATCCCCGGCTTCGGGGAACTGGGTGCCGTATGGGATTGTTGTTGTCCTCTGCTTCTAGGGAGTGCAACTGGCGCCGGAGCAGGTGCTCCTGGTGGTGCTCCATTGCCATTGCCACCCAGCTGCTTCATGGTGTACAGCAGCGACTTGGCCGCCCTCGAGTTGCGACCGAAAACCTCATCATCGCTTAGGTGGGCTGTTCTCCGTCCGGCCACGGTCACAGCTGTCTGGCTGCGCGGCTTGCGCATCACCTTCGTCTCGGCCCGATACTCCAGCATGTTAGTGTCCGAGTCCAGGTCGAGATCGTCATCCGTGTTGTCCGTGGTCAGGGCATTGGGTACGGTATGGAAGCTGGTTGGACTGTTGGCCGGACTGTTGTCTACATCCACGGGGCTCGTCACATAGTCAAATCTTCGACTCGCTGATCCCCCTGATCCTGCGCCTGCACCTGCCCCTGGCAGGTATGTGGGATTTGAGCTGGTCAGCACTAGGGGTGCTGCCAGGGGATTTGTCAGTGCCTCTGCCTGATCCACGGCACTGGGCAAACACGGTTGGCTGCGGTAGTTGTGTCGGTTTTGTGGGTTGCGGCTGCGCACTGGCGAAAAATCGGCGTACGTGAAGGATATGTTGGTGGGTGGCGGTGGCTGATACAGCTGCTGCCGAGATCCTCCATGTGAACCTCCCACTCCCACTCCCGCTCCCGCCACAGTTCCGGGCTCCATGGCATTGGGTAGCGAAGGCCGTTTCCTGAATTCGCTGAGTGCTGCTGGCGGACCTTTGGAACGCAGCGAGTTGTGACGCTGCAGGTAGCCATGGCCCCCGTTGGAGCTGCCCACAGGATAGGGCGACTGCTGCTGTTGCTGCTGCTCTAGGTTGTCCCTCAGCGAACGCTCCTCAAAGTGATGGGCCTTGCGACGGAAATCGCTGTTGTCCACCTTCGGCTTGGCCACCCAGGGCAGGCCGATGGGCGAGGTGGCCGTGGAGGCAGGCGACGGCGTGTTGCTGTACGGTGTCCGCGCCTGCAGGTGCTGCTGCTGTTGGGCTGGAAGCTTGCCCTGACCCGAGGGCTGCCATACAGAGCCTGGCTGTGGCTCCGACTTCTTGGCGATGGGCTTATAGATGCTAGGAGCCGCTGGCGGATCCTGATCGATGGGCCGGAACACGGACTGCGGTGCGTGTATAAAGTGATTCAAGGGCGGCTGCTGTTGTTGCTGTTGTTGCTGCTGCTGCTGTTGCTGCAGCTGTTGCTGCTGTTGCCTCTGGTGCTGCAGGCGCACCTCCATCTCCTGGCGACGCTGCCGCTCCAGCTGCTCTTGCTGCTGCCGCTGGCGGTCCAACTGCTGCTGTCGCTCCGCCTGCTGGCGTTCCAGCTGCTGCTCGTAGTACTCCCGCTCCAGGCGGACGCGCTGCTCGCGCTCGTATCTGGCCTCTTGCTCGAGGAGCAGCTGACGTTCGATCTCCTGCCGACGCTGACGCTCGGCCTGGGCCTGGGAATGGGCTTGGGCAGCGGCTGTCGCTTCCGCCTGTTGCTGTTGCTGTTGCTGTTCTCGTTGGAGATGTTCTAGCTGCAGCTGATCTCGTTGGATTTTTTCTCGTTGCATCTGGTCCCGTTGGATCTGTTCACGCTGAATGTGCTCTCGTTGTATTTGCTCTCGTTGGATGTGCTCTCGCTGAAGCTTCTCTCGTTGTTGCTGTTCTCGTTGGATCTTATCACGATGCTCTCGCTGCATTTGTTCTCTCTGCCGGTGCTCTCGCTGGTGCTGCTCTCGCTGGTACTGCTCTCGCTGCATCTGCTCTCGCAGCATTTGCTCGCGCTGAAGCTGCTGATGATGCTGGTGCTCCTGCTTGGCCCACCCTGGCACATGGCCGGGCACTGGCGGCGGCTTACCCTTGGTCACGGTTGCCGCCGCCCCCGTTTCAAAGGTGTGCTTGATGTTCCCGAACTTGTGCGTCCAGTTGGACACACTGCGCCCTCCGCCACCACCACCCCAGCCAAGGCCCGTCTGATGGCTCTGCTTGTTGATGAAGGCCAGGAACTTGTGATCGTTCTCCGTCTTGGGCTCGAAAGGTGGTACGGCATTTTGTACGCGCCGCTTAACGCTCACCTGAACAGCACGCTTCAGCCCCAGATGGGGACCATGGTCGTGCTCGTCTTCCAGGTCCGAGTCCGTGTCACAGTCGGCAATGTATTTAGCCTTTGCCTTGGGTATATCGATTGTGTTAGCCCGCTTCATCATATGCTTTTTCGCACCATTGAAGCGAGTAGAGGATGAGCCGGAGTTGGATCCATCCTGCTGTCCTCCCTTTTGGGCAGCCTCATAGCTGGCAAAGCTGACCGCATAATCCCCGGACAGAGGGCGTCTGTGGTTGCTGCTGCTGTTGTTGTTCGGTCTCAGCTGGGATCCCTGAGATTGGGAGGCTGGAATCTGCTGCACTGGCTGCTGCGGTGGCTGTGGCTTAGGCTGCTGCTGCTGTGGCTGCGGCACAAACTGATTGGGTCTGTAGAGCTGAACGGGCGGTATGATGGATCCCGAGCTGGCATTTTTCTCCAGTGTAAAGCCCTTGTTGTTCTCCAGCAGCAGCATGTCCTCCATATAGCGCCTGGCATCCGCCAGCTCCTCTCGGCTGACACCCACCGTGTGGCGGCTGTTGCGCTGCCGTCGCTTGGCGAACCGTGACTGCCGGCAGTCGGACCGGGGGTCCTCCATTCCCATCCCAAGCTCCAGTTCCATATCCTCCTGGGTGGGAGAGGCCTCTTCAGAGATGCCGCTGCTGTTGTTGTCCGCCGCCGCCAGTTTCTCCGGGGCATTGAGTCCACTCTGGAGGCGGGCAACGAGTCCGAGGAGAGCCTGACGCTGACCCCCGTCGACAGCTAGCTCCTTGCCCTGCTTCAGGGAGCTCTCCAGGCGGCTGAGGGCGTCCGTTACCTCCTCGAGGAGGCTGCGATGTGCCTCGCTGGCATCGCTGCCGCTCCGCTGTTGTAGGGTGTCCCTCAGTCCAGCGGCCAGCAGGCGCAGATCCTCGCCACTTTCCGTGCCCGAATCCTCCTTCGAGGGTACACTCAATCTGCTCACTCCCGAAACCGTTCCCGTTTCCGCTCCCGCTCCTGCTGCTGCTGTTGGGGCTGCCGCTGCTGCTGGCATTGTCTCTGGCTTGGCTTTGTCCCTGGCCCTAACCACTGTGCTAACCTGACCACTACTCTGTTTCCTACTGCTAATGCTACTACTGCTAGTGCTGCTGCCGGCTGCTCCTGCTTTTGCTCCTGATTTTGCTCCTGATTTAGTTGCTGGCAGGGCTGACTCACCCTGCTGCACCGTCTGGACACCGTCTGTTGTGGATGTCGAGGATGTTGTGGATGTTGTGGACTGCTCTGAGAGCTCTACTTTGGCCAACTTTTTGGTGACACTATCGCTGACTTTGCTCTCCTTAGAGGCTGCGTAGGCTACGGCTGCGGAGGCTACCTTCTTCTCTACCTTCTTCTCCTCCTTGGGCAGCTCCTTTTTGGTGGTCTCCTCTTCGTTGTTGTCGTCGTCGTCGCTGTAGTCCGTCACCTCCTCGATGATCTCCTCATACTCGCTGGCACTGCTCTCCTCCTCCGCCTCCTCCTTTGGCTTAGAGGCTGCGGCTGAGTTCTTTTTCTCTGCGGCGCACGATGATTCACAGTGGAGAGAAAGTGAGAAAGTTAGGAGATAAAAGGAGAGACAGAAAGAGACAGGATTTAAAAGGCGAGCAACGAGAACTCAAAGGAACGTAATGACGACATCAAGCAAGACAACAAAAGCTCGGGTCTTGGGTCTTGGGTCTCGGGATGTCGTGGAACTGGAACAGAAAACTCAGATGCTTCAGCCAGAAGTAGTTTAAGAACTGCGTTTATGCATATCATTGATAAATTGTTCCTTTGAATAATATGGGGATATACTCGTACACATGGTTCAATAAATCTCGGACATATAGTATATCCGCAATATACATATATCCGTGGCGGTTTCCGTTTCGGGGCATCTAAGCTTTTGTGAAATGTCTCGAGCAAAATGAACAACATACAAATAGGTGTATATAGTTATAAATGTAGAGATATCAGAGATATAAAATGTGTGAATCGAAGGATCAATTCCAGTTCTTTGTGGGTGTTCGAAGTGGGACAGCGGAAGGGGTTCTTGACAGACGTTCGCACTGAGTGAAACGGTAACGAAATAAAAAACAAAACAACGATAACAATGGAAAATAAAGATAACGATGACGAGACGAGACGACGAGTGCACGACTTTCTTTACACAATTGAGAGAGATAAATGTTCTGCGTTGGGGAAATAATCTTGGAACATGACTTGAAACAGAGCAAAATAGGTGTTGAGGTTGTGTGTTATACCTTTTCTTTGGGAGGGGGCCTAAGAGCGCTAATCGATTAATCGATTAAGGCTCTTCTTCTACTTTTAGTTTCGATTAACAGCTTAGATTTCTTTAGCCTAGAGCCTAGAGTTGCTGTGTGCGCTTTATCCTACAAGATACAGATACAGAACACAATATATAGACACTTTGCATCCGATTATCGATGGTGGCATCTCCTTATCGGTTTTCGGTTATCGGTTATCGCTGGATATCACTGGAGAGTGTAGTAGAGTGCTTTTTGTTGTTTGTGGAGCGGAGTGCAGAGAGAGCAGCTTCCTATAAGAGCTGCTGGTTCTGGTGCTGTTGCTGTTGCTGGGGTTTTTCTTGGGGTGTTTTGCTTAGAAGATAAATATAGAAATGGAGACTCACCTTCGCGTTCCGCCATAAGTTCGCGTAGACGTGCACGGATCTTGCGACGCTCCTCGTAGGTGGAGGCCTGTTCCAGCTTCAAAAAATGGATGCGAAAAGAGGTTTGATTTGCGAGAGGTTCAGTCAGGGGCTGGTCAGGGGCTGGTCAGGGACGGGCTACACCTACCAATTGCTTTAGGATCTGCTCGTCCTGTATCTCCTCGATGTCACAAGTTGTGCGTGTAACTGGTGCTGAGGAGGCGCTGCTGCTGACCTTGCCAGTTCCCGATTTGCTGTAGGTATTGGTTATGCGTGTGGTTTTCACCTAAAAGAGATAGATATGAGTGTGGATTAGCACAGGTTTTTTTTGTTTATCAACCGGAAAATTTTGTTTCATGTTTCCCCCCACCACCACCCCCCAATTCCATCTCTCTCTCACTCTCTGTCTACGGGTGGGTGGTGCCATGCCGTGCCAGCTGTTCAGTCTGGCTAAATAAAGCACGATGAGCACATTTGAAAGCCAACAATTATTCTGTTGCCAAGAAACTGGGAAAGGGAGCCATCACTCGACCGACAATCGGTTCGACATTCGACGATCGATGGCCATGATAAGGCAGAAAGAAGCACTTTTTTGGGGCTGTCCTTAGCCATGATTCTTTTGCAGCGACTCTCTCTCTCCCTCTCCATCCCCCTCTGCAATTGCTTCCGACTGCAGTTGACTAATTGAACTAAACAACAGGGGGCATACCTCTCGTATGCGTAATGTGTGCTCTGGGGGTTCTATCTAATATATATAACGTATGCAACACGTTGCCCCACAGGCTCCAAGGCGATTGTCACTCGATTGTTTACTGTTCTCTGTTTGTTTGTTAACGAATGAAAGACGAATCGACTGAAATCTTTATGGAAGTTTCGAGAGTTGACTTTCAATTTTTTTGTTCGATTGTTAATCAGTTATGGGAATATGCCTTAAATAACCGAATCGATTTATACTTTACTGAACAATTGATATGTACATTGTATAAGCATGCATATTCTATCGACTTTAGATGCTTATGGGATGTTTCGATGGAATGCCACAAAACAAAAATGGCAGAGTATGGGGATAATGGGGAATTTCGAACAGGCAACAGAATGGAAAAGAAATCTACTCAGAGATCGCACTGCCATTGTAAAAGACAAACCCCTCAAGCCCTGTAACCCAATGGACCCCCAACGGTTGCTTCACTTAGAATTACCAGCTCGTGCATTGGTATACTCAAATAGAGTTCATTGACAGACATCAAGAACAAAGCCACGTTATCAACAAGAAATGATGGCATAGGTTTAATTGCCACAAATCACACACAAGAATATTCGGACAAATATTTCAACCGAATATTGCACGCCCAAGGATCAGGCGGTTAAAACGTTTATAGACCTCTGAGATACATATAAACGATATACGAGTATATGTATAGTACTGTATAGAGTGCAATTAAGTATACGACGTGTGGTATGTGTACTGCAGTTGCCTTTTGATGGGGGAATGCCGCAAATATGTATATCTACTCGTATATTTTTCCCTGTTCTCCTTCTGCTTCTACCTCTCGGTCGCTCTCTCTTTCTCTCTCTCTCTCTCTCTCTCTCTCTCTCTCTCTCTCTCTCTCTCTCTCTCTCTCTCTCTCTCTCTCTCTCTCTCTCTCTCTCTCTCTCTCTCTCTCTCTCTCTGTCTTTATCTATCTCTTTTGGTAGATTGTTTATATCAAAATTTGACCAAATTTGGTCAGCCAACAAATGGGGGGAAATTTTTCAAAAACCGACTTCGAACATGTTCGAAAATTCGGCCGCAGCTTCCTGCCTCTCTGTCTCTCTACCACTCTGTTCTTCTGCTCGGTTTTTCTTCCCACACGCGTTGCTATTTTTAATTATAAATTATTTAAGCACAAACACACACATGGGAACAGTTAGAGAGTATATTTTTCTCTGTCTCTCTTGTTTTTTGTTGTTGTTTTGGATTTTCTGACCGAAAAAAACTTTATATAATATTTTAGCGTGCCCCCACTCCTTATAAACAAATTAGAGCCAAACAAAATAAACCAAGAACAACAGTCTTAACAAAAAATTAATTGCCAAACATTTTTACAATATTTTTCTATTTTCATATACCTAAATTTTGTTTGCCCTATATTTTGTTCTTCTCTTTTTGTTTTGTTTTGTTGTTTTATGTTCGTTTTTGTCAAAATGTGGGCCACAAAAAATTCAATAGTAAAAATGTCAATTCATTTGATTTAATTTGCATTCCATTTGGATGCTCTATCGAGATGATGATTCGAGTATTTCCTCAACCCACCCGCTCCCGTTGTCGTTTCTGTGAATCGGGACGCTTGGAAGGGCCTTAAAGGCCCTTGCCAAAGTATTTGGCGCAATTCCGACAAAGCGTGACTGTGTGTGAAAGGGGACGTTTGATATGGTAAAGATGGGGTAATGGTAATGCACCGATCAAGAGCGAAATGCAACCATGCGTGAAAATCAAAAATGGTAATTGCATGAAAAACAACAACAAAACACAACAAAGAGGAAAGCAATTAAAAAAAAACTGTTTGGATCAACAGGAGATCGTTGGTGAAACGAAGGGCGGGGAAAAGGTATGGGAGGGGAGGGTAGGGGAGTGGGTAGGAGAGTGCAGCTAACCAAAGCGAACATTGCATTTGGACTTAACAGTGGCTGCTGCAGTTGCAGTCAATGGCCATTGACTCAATCAATTGCTCAACATTTTGACACCATACACATCCACGAGGAGAAAAGCATTGGAAAAGAAGGAGAGAAGGTAAAGAGAGGGAAATATGGAGAGGTAGAGATAAATGTATGATTTATGGACTCCAATTAGTACAGTCCCCCCGACCAGCAATGACCTCCCTCCCCGACCGCCCAAAGACCTTCTAAAACAACCAGCCAAAATCCACCCAATTTTCCATGGGAAAGAATGGTTTTTCATTCTCTGCTAGTTTCCACATTCAGACTTTCTTTCTTTTTCTTGTTTTTTTTTATTCATTTTTTTTGTTACTTTTATCTCATTCTTTTGTATTTTTAGCCTCTGGCAAAATGAGAATTATTTGACATGCAAAATGCGAAGCAAAGACAAAGGCACACGCACAGACGCAGAAACACACTCTCCAACAACAACAACAACAACAAAAACAACAACGATTATGAAACGTCAGAAGAAAGGGAAGAAGAGGGAGACAAAGACGAAGAAGAACAGGCAAAGGCAGAAGAACCAGAAAGAAAGTCCAACTCTGGAAAACGAAGCATTAAGTACCCTTCTTTTGTCTTGCAATTGGTAACAAAAATCTTATAAAAATCGATTAAACTGTCCCAAGGTAGCCGATAACTATATAGTGGGAGCGCTTTTTGCATTTTTTAAGCAGTCCCAAAAACAACCGAAATTATCAGCCCTTGGAGAGTGTATTTTGTTTTTGCATTCTCGGGCCTAAATTTTGGTGTGAACAGTTTTTTTTGTTGTCAGTTTGATAGTTTAAAAAGGTTGATATATAAATGTTATAGGTAAATGTAATATATAGGTAAATGTTTCCGTCAGTTGATCAATATAATAGTCATCTTGACATATAAATAAGGTCTGCAAATATAGAACTAAAGTTTTCTAAGCAAATTACTTCTGATCTACAGCCTGGACAAAGGAAGGATCAATAATATACATACATATGTACATGCATATGTGCAAATATTCTCATACGCATTGCCAAAATTAGCATACCTCGCTATTTCAAGGGTAGAATGAGTGGCACAATGGCAAGATCAGGGGGAATAGGGGTAACGGAAACCGGCTTTCCAGCTTTGAGGAACACTTGCCAGTGCCAGTCAGCCAGCCAGAAATCTGGTGGGGTACGCTACTGAGAAAGAGAGAGAGAGAGAAAGGGAGACAGTATTTGAGGAGGATTTGCCGCTTGCCGCCTCAGAATGTTACGCTCAACTAAGTACAGGGGCAACCACCACCACAAAAACACACCTGGGGGAAGCAGAACGGTCAACAGAAATGGAATTCCCGCCTGGGTTCCCACTTCGATCCATTGTGGTGGATGGATGGATGGATGGTGATCTATGTATGTATAGACTGAATGCCGCTACAATGGAACCTTATCAAAGAGCTTGCTTCCATGGGTAAACAGTTCATGCATGAATTATAAAAGGGTTCCCAGTACGTGTTTCCGTACAAATTCCATATACGAGAATAGTCGTATCTGCTCTGCTCTGCATTTGTAATCATTTGTAAGAGGGAGGGCAGGTAATGCCACTAGAACTGGTTCACGTGTTAACGACTCCACGACGACTCCACTGAGTGGGGAAACTGAAAAACTACGCATGCTGATTATTTGGAAACTTTAATGGACAGAAGAAGCACATACTCGAATGTATGTATGTAAGTAGCTCTACTCGGTAGTTGGTCAGTAAGTGAATGTTTGAACCAGTTTAAATGTGAAATTTTTTAATGGGAAAGAACTCAAATAAAACATTTTGGGACTAACTCCAATGATGCTTGCTGCATAGAGGAGGAACAGTTCTTGTAGTAATTATATCATTCCCCATTTTGTAAGAAATAGTGTGAGCTTTTCTTGTAAGAGGAATTCCAAGAAAAGAGATATTCCTTTTCCCTTGAATGCCAAAAACATTTCTGAAAAATGTTCGAGGCAAAATGGGGACCAAACTATTCTTTTGAGTAATGGAAATTGGATGCACAGTGTTGTAAGTGTAACAAGAAATAAAGACAATCTTTAGAGAGGACTCAAATGTTTGGATATATGACAGCTCTGGACTCTTTGCTGATCCTCTCTCCGGTTCATCTTTTTAACGATCTTTTTAGCTTATGAAACAAATCATTCCCTGTCGCACACTATTCCAAGCGGTAGACTTTATCTGCAGGCCTGTACACATACATACATATGTATTTAGCTACATATATCTGTTTTTATGTATCTGACAAAGTCCCAGAGCATTAGGCATCGAATAGGGGGAAATATCTGCTGTGTGATCTGTGGGAAATTGGTATTTGGTTCACACACAAGTGGAAGAAAAACGGGAACATCACATGCCACAGAGTCGGCAGCGGCGTTGCAATGTGCGTTTGCTGCCCCATGCACCATGCACCACCAGCTAGCTTCCTCTTCCCTGGCCACCATGTGCGTCTCTGTCAGCAAGTTGGCCAAAAAAAAAAAAACAGAAAATGCTCCTCCAACCATAGACCGTAAAAATACTGCCTGCCCCGTCGTTGGAGCTATTTTTGTCGAAATTTTCCGTACATTTGACGCTCTCATTCATGCATCCCTCCTCCTCCCTTCTATCACTCTTTCTTTTTCTCAGCTCTGTTTTTAAAAAGTATTTATTTATTTGTTGTTCTCTGCTGTGTGTATACTCACACACATCTACATATACATATGTACGTATGTATGTTTATATATAGTATATAGACATAAAGAAATATATACATACATATGTATATCGGTTTATATATAGCCCCCGATGGTGTCGTCGTCGCCGCTGCTGTGCCTCCTCCTTTCGTTCAGGTGCATTTTGAGGTGTCGTGACAGAAATTCCTCTTTTCGCTGCTGCGACGGACGGACGGACTGACAGACGGACGGGCAGCAAATTATGCGCACTAAAAATAATTGACTCAAACAGCTGCTCTACGTCTCTCCTCCTTCGCCTTCTCTCTCTCGCTCTCATTATTTCCTTCTTTTCTCTACCAATCTATCATATGCCTCTGTCTCTGTCCAGAGTATGTTGGGAGACAGGGTGAGGGGGCCATCCTGAGCTGCTCCCACAATAGTTGCCATTGCGTATCGGTATAATTGAGAGAGTACCCAAATAGGCCACTGCCTGAGAGCAGGAAATGCATGCCTTTCCTCCCCTTCTAACTGTTCCCAAACGGTAAGTTCCGTTTTAACAATTACGCCAAATCTTAGATCAGGGGAATGCCTCACCTTCTTGGGAAATACACCTTGCCTTGCCTTGCCGCGCTCTCTCAATCAGAACTTACGCTGTGCTTTTTTTTTGCTTCTTGCTTGCGGTTCTTTTGCTACCGCTACCGCTCCCGCTCTAACTGCTGCTGGTGGCTGCTGATGCTGCTGGCTGCTTCTCCTTGCGGTTCTATGGCCCCGCTGCTGATGATGCTGATTCTGCTGATGCGATGCTGCTGTTAGACCAAATATGGATTCGACCGACACTCGCGCGCTCGCTCTCCCGCCACAGGGAAATAACAATATTTAACAAAACTGCACAAGAAAAAAATAAAGAGCGAGGAAGCCAGAAACTTGTCTTCTTTTGTTATTCTACTGCTTCTTTTTCTTTTCTACTTTTCAACTTTTTGTTTTATGTTTTTTTTTATTTATTCTAAACTTTGTTGTTTGCGAGAAATTCTTTCTTTCTTTCTTGGCACTTTTTGCTTTCTTTCTTTCTTCTTCGCCTGCCTGCCTGCTGCTGCCTGCTTTCTCTGCTTTTCGTCGGATCAAGTAGTTCTTCGCACAAGTGATCGATGCCGCCTCTGAGTGTGTACTGACGCCGTCTCTGTCGCTGTCGATTCGGATTCGGAGAGATGCCGCTGCCACTGCCACTGCCACTGCTGCCACTGCCGATGGCGATGCTTGCTGCTCTGACCAGCCAGGCGGTGCCCCTCACATCACGCATACGGCGGCGCACACGGCACACACAACCGCAGGCACCAGCAGCGGCAACAACAACAGCGACAGCAAGAGAGAGAGAGAGAGAGGGCAGTGAAGAGAGTGCACAGAAAGCGACAGAGAGAGAGAGAGGCAGAGAGAAAGAGAGACAGAGTGCCAGTGCCAGTGCGAGTGCGATCACTCACTCGGTAAACCGTTAGTCAGGCACGTGCTTGGCTCTGGGACTCTGTTGAGGTTAGGTTTGGAGTTTTGCACGATCACATCCCATACGGTGGACAGGAGAAGACAGAGGAGTCAAAGAATTAGGAAACGACCGACATTTTATATACCCTTGCAATTCAACCATATTTTATTTGCCATGTATTTATTATAGCCACTAAGATTATTTGGAAGATCCCTGTATGTTCAGCCATATGATATGGTCATTTGATGTTTATATTAATAAATGTATTAACAAGCAAAGTTCATGTAACGAAAGACCTGTTCTCACAAAGACCTGTTTTTCTTGCGAATGATAATCCAATCCTTTCGGTTCAAATTGAGAATATTCTTGTTTACTAGTGTACTGTATGTACATATGTATGTACACATGTCTGTATATTTCTTGTAGGTCTGGTCAAAATTATAATACCTTTTTGCAAGCGTATGAAAAGAGAGACGCATTCAGTGAACCGTTAATCGAACACGTGCCTGAGCCACATTTGAGGTTAGTTTGGGGATTTTCTATAGTTGATGCAGTGGAGATGCGGAGAGGGGCGGAAGGGGCTGATGGAGAGATACTCATGCCACGAAGTGGAAAAACCAACACTTGTTCCACTCTCTAACTCATTCAAGCGATTAATTGGTCACTCGCCTATAAGCTACTGAGAAAATTGCATGGTTTAGTTAGGGATTTCCTAAAAAGAAAGTACATTTTGACACCTGTAAATTTTCTTAGGATAGACTTCTTAAAGAGAAGGGATTGAATGGAGGTCTACTCGTTCCTTTCCAGACGATAATATTTGCATAAGGATAACTCACCCCCAGACGATAATATTTGCATAAGGATAACTCACCCCCAGACGATAATATTTGCATAAGGATAACTCACCCCTTGGCTATTCAGACGCTGACCCGTAGCCGTTGGTGGAAGCATGCTCTCCACGCCCTGCATTATCACACTGGCCCCAAGGAATTTGTTGAGCAGAGCACGTGCCTCACGATCTTCGTTTGTGTCGCCAGGCTCCTCCACTGTGTATTTAAATGGGATGGTAAGGGATGATGGTTTAGCTGCTAGGAATAAGGGAATTTCAGTTTGGTTAGGTCTCACCATTATCGGCATTGCGCATGCGCTCCAGGACATCGTCCACACTGGTCACCTGCCGCTGATCCGCGCTGCTGTTGAGGAAGGAGCGCGTGTTGCTGGACCGGGTGGTGGTTAAGCTGCTGGTAGTTGAGCCCTGGCGCATCTGTGGTGCCTCGATGACGCTGCACACCTCATTGGATTCGCTGTCCTCGGTCTCCTCCTCATCTGCATCCGCATGCTCGGTGCGGCTGCTCATCATCGACTGAGAGGTGCTAGAGTGCGTTGACGAGGAGGACTCTTTCCGTATGAACTTCTCGCTGAGCTCCTTCACCGAACCACGGCGCACATATCTGCCATCTGGCTCTGGCTGCAGTTCGGACTCGACTTTCTTGAACTCTCTCACAAGCTTGGTATTCAACTCCGGCTGGTAGTCATCGTCCAGCAGCAGCTGTTTCTGAATGGAAGCCAGCTCATCCGCATTGCTCGAGTAGATCAGCTCCTTGCGCTCGTGACGGGGCGGGGACTTGTTGTCCGAGTAGAACTGCTCCTCGATCACAAAGCCTGTGACTTCTGGGAAACGGTAAAGGAATTGGTATTCAAATTAGTATTTGTATCTAAGGAATATGTGGCTTATGTTTATCCTGTCACCTTGCTTGGTCTCACACGGTGCTGGCTGACTTTTCTTCTTGAGCGCTCTTATCCCAAAGAGGGGCAGTCCATTCTCGTCCGTGGGTCCCACTCCGTAGCTTGATGTAATGGAGTCCTCCTCGCGCTGCTTGGGCTTGGCTGCCCTGGTGCTAGAGCTGGCGGTGGAGCTGGAGCTAGTGCTGGTGCTCTGAAGGGTTCGGGTCATCTTTCCGGTGGAGCTGGTGCTAGTGGTGCTCGTGGCAGATCCCTTTCGCGGACTGGATCCACCATTCGAGACGGGCCCGTGACCTTTGAGCACCTTAGTGCGATCTGCCCAGATGGGTCCCTGGTGTGCTGGTTTGCTGGGTGTACCAGCACGTGGACCAGCCCCGTTGTTCGAAGTCCGAGTGGTGGTTGTGGCAATGCTCACAGACGACTGCTTGCCGGGGGGACTGCTGCGACGGCGTTGGGCCGGACTGGCGCTCCTCTCTCGTGGCTTCACCGGCGGCTTGCCCTGAGGCGTTGCTCCACCTGTGCCTGTGGTGCTGTCCACCTCCTGCTCTCCTCGCTGTCTTCTGGTGCTGGAACTGCTGCTCGTGGTGCTGGTGGTGCGCACTCCCTTGAAGCTGCTGCTGATGGTCTTAGCCTCTGGACTGCGACTACGATCGCGTGGGGGGATCGCCTCCTGCTGGGGCTGCTTCTTCGGCTGCTGCGATGCCAGTGGGGCTGCAGCATTGGGAGAGGTCTTCACCGTCGTTGTAGTGGTAGTGGTTGTCGTGGTAATCCCCGCATTGATCATGTTCTTTCTGATGAGCCGCATCTGGGCGCGTATCCGGCGACGCATCTCGTAGCTGCTCACTGTCTCCAGGAGCTGTTCGAGTACCTGCAGATCGAAGATCTCCTCAATCTCCAGATCGATCTTCAACTTGATCTTATCCTCCTTTTTGGGCACATCAAACTTCACCGAGGTATTCGGATTGCGTGGCTCCAGGCCCGAGTCATCCTCCACTGAGGACTTGCGCGAATAGTTGTTCTTATTGATCTCCAGGGAGTCACGTCTTATGTGCTCCAGCGAGCTCTTGGTGTGATCCATGTACGAGGGACGACGCCCGCCAGGCTGTGGCTCTGTTGTGCTTGTTGGGGCTGCCTGCTGTGGTGGTGTCTTCTCGAACACATTCCTGCGTGTGGCTACCGTGCGTCCTACCCCGCTGCCATTTGGGATTGCTGGAAGGGATTCAACGTGTACATGGGGTTCGGGATCAGCTGTTGTGGCTGTACCTATGGTTTTGCTTGGGTGGTTAGTCGGGCTTGGACTTGGGCTTGGGCTTGAAGTGGGCATTGGACTTTTTTGCTTGGTGGTGCTGCTGGGGCTGTGCCTTTGACTTTTGCTGTGGTTGTGCTGGTGCTGGTGGTGGTGCTCAGTGGTTGTTTTAACTACGCTGGCGGCGGTCGAGTTCAAGTTGGATTTGGTGGTGCCAGTGGTGCGTCTACTGGGTGAGCGAGACGGCGACGATGATGGGGAGGGCGACGAGCGTGAGGGGGATGCAGAAGGCGAACGGGAACGGGAACGGGTACGCGACTGAGGCTTGCGGCTGTTGCTGTGGATCGGTGGTGGTGGTCCCACCACCTCCACGTCCACATCAACATCGCTGATTACCCACTGCTTCTGGCTGACATGCTCCATGGTACGCTTGGAGCCACCCCCAGTTGTTGTGGGCTTCGTTGGAGAGCCTCCAGATGTTGTGGGTTTCGATGGGGTGGCTCCCCTGGGGGTGCTGCTCGGCTGCTGGGGTGACTTGGGCTTGCCCGTGATGGTGCTACCAGTTGTGGTCTGATTCCTGTACGATCGACGCTCTTCGGTAATCAGGCTGGTGCTGGTGCTGCTGGGAGTCGATCGCAGCTTGGTACCATTCTGCTTGGACACGATGGATGGCTTACGGAGGGCCTCTGTGGCACGTGGCTGTCCAAAGACCGATGGTCGGTTGAGGATGTCCTTTTGCCGCTTCAGCTCAATGGCTGTGGTGTGACTCTTGGTCATGGGCAGAGGTTCCTCCTCTTCCGACTCCACCTGGGGCTGCTTGGGATATTCTTCTTCCTCTCGATCCGACTGCAGTTCCGGTTCCGATTCCTGCTCCAAGTCCGTATCTTGCCGCGAGATGTGTCTTTCGATGCTGGCCACCAGGCGTGGCGATTTTTGTGGCGCTGTCGGGGCCAGCTTCTCGGCGGTGTCAATGAACTTGTGCACCTTCTGAGAGACGCTCAGGGTGCAGTCATCCTGTCGCAGCTCCTCATCGATCTCCTCGAAGCTGGGGCGCGGGCGCTCCAACTCCCGACTGGGGGTAGGCGTGAGCGGCTGCCTGGTGATATTCTCGGCGGTGCGCAAGAACTTGTCCACCTTCTGATTGATGCTCAGCAGGCACTCATCGTTCTCGGGTATCTTGGCATTCTCGTCGAACTCCCGGCTAAAGGGGACAGAGCTGCGTGGCTGCTTCACCTGTTCGGCGGAGTGGGTGAAGCGAGAAACCTTCTCGTGGACGCTAAGCAGGCACTCGTCGGTGTCCTGCGGCTGTACAGGCTCCACGGGATGGGACTGGTCGGTACTGGTGCCGGGGCTGCTGGTTGTGGGATAGTCCAGGCTCTGGGGCGCCTCTACCATGGGATTGTCGAGTATGTCATCGTCCAGGCCATTGGAGTTGCGCAGCTCCGAGATCTGACAGCCAACATAGGCATTGGCCGCCTCCTCGAAGATGGGTATGTTGGTAACCTGCGGCTTCTTGCGCGGCTCATCGTCCGGCTCCTGGACCACATCGGGATAACGCGGCTTGCCCGTGTCCTTGTCCATCGCGGCGTTCACCGGCGTGGGTACGATGCGATCCGGCGACGGTTCCCTAGAGCTCTTTGCCTGCTGGATGTCGATGATCATGTCTTCGCTATTGACCAGCAGCTGTTCGCTCAGATTGATGGTCTTGGTGGTGAAGCACTTGCTGGGTCGGCTGCCACGTTCCACGGGCCTCAGGCTGCTCATCTCGGGCTGCTGCTTGGATGGGTTCTTCGCGATGGGGTTCTTCTGCCCGTTGACCACCTTGATGATGTTCTCACTAGTGGAGCGCATCACCTTGTCGGCCTTATCGCGTCGCGTCACCCGTGGCACGGGTGCCGAATCCTTGCGCTCGGTCACCGGCAACTTCCTTGCGGCGGCAGGGCTCAAGGCGGCTATCAGCTGGGGCCTACGCTCGGTCCGGGGCGACTTCGGGGCCGTGTGATCAATGATGATCTCCGTGTGCACGGAAATGTTACTCGACCGACGACGCTCTCCCCGCGTTGGACTCACATCTGGGGAGGTGGTGGTGTCCCCATCCACATGATCCACTTTTATTGGTGTCTTGTTCTGGCTCTGAGGTTGGGACTGGGGCTGCTGCTTACGTGGCGAAGAGCGCAGGCGATCCTTGATTGATGGTGATGTGCTGGCACTGGGACTGGGACTGGCATCGCTGGGCTTTCGTCCTGTTTTCGTCGTAGTGGTAGTGGTGGTGTTGGTGCGTGTCTCCTCCACCACACTGTCACGCTTGGCCGGAGCTGACTCCGGCTTTCGACCCGTCAGGGACTCCTTTCTGGGACTCTTCGGGGCGGTAGCCTTTGGGTGTGGGTTGGGTGCCTGCTTGGAGGAGGAGGTGCGTGAATGGCGACGTTCGGTTTCGGTTTTTGTGTTCGTAGTTACACTTGGCCGTTTCTTGGGTAGCTCCTCTTGGGGTTCCACTTTCTTGAGGGGAGACTTCTTGGTGGTGCAGCCTCCTTCTGGTAGTGACTTTTTGATGGTCTTACTCTGGCAATCAATGGTCTTCTCGGTGATGAAGCTCGTCGTCTCTGGTTCTGGCTCGAAAATGGGAATCGAAGATGGCGAAGGAGAAGGCGATGGAGATTTGGAGGCGGATTTCAGGGTAGTCTTGGGCAAAGGCGAGGGTGATTTTGAGGGTCGCTTGGTAATAAAAATCGTCGTCTCCTCATTCACATTGATGGCCTCGGCGTCCCCTTTGGGATTCCTGGGCAGATCCTCCTCCTCCTTTGAGGGCTCCTCCACATCCACAAAGAGCTCACTGAGCTCTTGCTGCGGCTGGGCCTCCTCTACCTTGATTTTCGGCTGGGTGTGCACCACAAAGGTCTCGGTGACACGACGCGATGGCTGATCATTATCATCATCATCGTCATCGAGGCAGTCTTCGATCTTTACCTCAATGGTCTCCGTCTTTGTTGTGGTCGTTTGCCTTATCTTCTGCTCATCCTCCTCTTCCTGATTCTGATCTGCATCATCATCATCATCATCATCACCGTCATCATCGTTGGGTCGCGTTATGTAGCTTCCCTGGGTATCCCCATCCTCCTCCATGCCCAGGATCTTGCGACAACGATCCTCGAAAGTCTCGCGACGGCTCAAACCCTTTTTGCGATAAGTAGGTGCCGCTCCCTCCTCCACTGGCTCGGGCTCGGAGTCGCCTCCTTTGGAGAATAAACCACCATCTGGACTTTCTATGGCTTCTTCGGGTTGGGTTTGCGGTAGCTGTTGCGGTTGGGTTTCCTTTTCGTTTTGGGGCTGGCTCTGGCGTTCGTTCGTTAGAAATTCATCGTTAAGATTCTTCTTCGTTGTTCGTGTCTGAGTGGTAGTGATCGTGCTGCGGAAGAGATCCTCCTCTCGTTTCTGCTGAATTGATGGATTGGTTGGGGTTAGAGACCTGGGACTCGGGCTCTCCTTTTCGGGACTCTGTCGGGGTGATCCCCTGGAGAAAGCTGGTTCCTTCCCTGGACTCTGGGCCCTCTGAGGACTTGTTGGCAGTCCCGGCTCTGAGGCAGTCTGAGCCTTTGGCAGACTCTGCCATTCGGGTGCTGTTTTCTGGGAGGGGCTGCTGTCTTTGGGCAACTGGAAAGATCTTCTAGGCAATCCAGGCTCTTTCTCTGGACTCTGAGCCCTCTCCAGCTCCGCTTTCTTAGGGCTTTTGGGACGCCCCATGGTAGTGGGAGTCGGATACTTGCTGGGCAGCTGCTTCTCGGGACTGCCCTGCCGTGGCGCCGTTGTCGCCGCCGCTGGTTTCTGCGGGCTCTCCTTGGCCGGCAGCTGTTTCTCGGCGCTTGGACGACGAGTTCCTGACAGCGGGTGCTGCGGATGTTTTTCGGGGCTCTGTCGTGGAGAAACCCGCGGTTTCTCGGGACTCTGAGCCCTGGATCTGGGAAATCTCGGCTCGGGGCTGCTTTGGTTGGGCTTGGGCTTGGGCTGTGACTGAATCAAGGTCTCATCGATAAGGATCTGCTCCTCAATGAGCAGGACATCCTCCTCTGGCTGGGAGATACGTCTGCCCTCGAACGTGGTTTCCCTGAAGACCGGTCGGCGTTCGACGCTCGGCGACTTCGAACTGCCCCTGGAACTGGCAAGGGGTTTGGGTTCGTGTTCGGGCTCATTCTGATCATCGTCGTAGTTTCGATTGTGGTTCGGCTGGTTTCGCATCTTGGGTGGCGCTTTCTGCTTGGTGGCTGCGGGGAGTAGACATCAACGGGAGCAGGTCATCAGCGGGTTTTCGAGGGGAGACAGGTGGGCCATAGATCGTAGATCTACTACTGTGCTTGGGGTTTGGGGTTTTTGGTGTTTTTTGTGGCTTTTTCCCAGTTAATGGATTAGTTACGACTACGGGTTGCGGCTGCTACTACGGGTTAGGATGCTCTCTACGCGCTACGGCTACGGGGGTTAGGCGGCAGGCGACAAAACAGGCACAGATTTTTGTATAGACAGGCAAAGACCCTTTTCGGCCCATTAGTGGAAGAGTTAGAGAAGAGTTTTGCGCTACAGGCTGTTGTTTGTTGTTAATCGTCCTTCAGGAGAGACGGACGCCTCTCTTTATGGCTTATGTGTTCGTGTGGCGCGTGTGTGTGTGTGTGTGTATGGTGCACGTTGGGGGTCAAGACATTGAACATTTCAAACATTGCATTTGTTTTTTCGGTATTATATTTATTTGCAAAAACAGTTTCGAAAGAAAACAAAAAGAAAATAATGAGCATAGGCATTTACAAAAAGATTGGTTGCTGGTTGCTTTGGGGGTTGTTCAATATCTTTAACGTTTATTCGGGAGATGCCTTACCAACGCTCTCTGAGGGACGGGGCACGGGTTCCCCCTCGCTGAGGGTTTCGGGTCCCAGCTGATAGTATAGACGCTTCACACAAGGCGGTTCTGCCACCGCCACTGCCACCGTTTCATGCGCTTCGTTTGCGATCACCTTTACCTTTCGGATGGGTTCTTGTTCTTGGCTGTCGCTTAAGATGGTTCTTGTTGCTGTAGGGATTGCTGTGGTGGTTGTAGTGGTGCCTGTGCCTGTGCCACTGCCTGCTGTGGCTGTGGTGTTGTCTTTATTGGTGGTTAGTGTTGTTGGTTCGTTGTTAATAGTAGGAGGAGTAGTTGGAGTTGGAGTTGGTGGCAGAGAGAATATGTCGCCAGGCTTAGTGGTAGTATACGTATACTGTGATAGCTTGTTATCTGAAGGATAGTACATTCATATACATAGTTTTTCATAGTTTTTCCGATATAGGAGTATATATAGTAATTATATAGATTCATCTTGATTACTTTTTATATTTTTTTTTTCTTTTTTCTTTATCTGAGATTTTCATTTTATTTTGTTTTTCTTTATTTCGTACCTGGAACTGGAGCGGGACTGGCTGGAGCTGCTGCTGGAGTCGGAGATGGTGGGGCTACTGCTGCTGTCGGAGAGGATGGACCGCCACCACCACCTGTCTTGGTGGTGCTGGTTGTCGTGGTCGTTACAGTGGTCGTTGCCGCCTTTTGAGTGGGCGACTTGGGTTCGTTGCTGATCGTCTTGGTAGTAACCTGCTGCTGCTTAACCACCTGTTGCTGCGGCGGCGGCGTTTTGGCCACAGTCTTGGGAGTGGCTGGTGCTGATCCACCCGCCGTCTGCCTTGTCACCGTTGTGGTGCTAATGCGACTCGACTCCGAGGGCGCCTGGCTGTCATGCGAGCCCTCGCGCCCCTCTCGGCGGTAGGTGCGGGTCGAGGAGATGCTCGAACGTGGCGTCTGATGGTGGTGCGATCCCACCGAAGTGGTGCTATCCGCCGGCGAACTGCTGCGCAGCGATGCTGCGAAAGCCCGATGGGCGGCGTCCACTTCGCGCTCCTTCTGCAGCTGGCGACGCGTTACGGTCGTGGTTGTGGTCGTGGTGTCTGAGCTGTTCGGGGCGTTTCCAGGTCTAGTTCCAGGACGAGCGCCTGCGGTGGGGCGACGCGCTGCAGAGTCGGGCGTGGGCCGTGTGGGAGATCGGGCCGAGGGGAAGCCATGGGTGCTCGGATGGGTTCGGCGTGGACTGACCGGTTGGCCAGTAGATTGGGGTGAATGCGAGTGGGTAGTAATGGAGTGGGTGTGGGTGTGGCTGTGGGGGGCCTTTGGATAGTCCTGATCCACCTGCGTCTCGATGATGCGCTCCGTCTGCGACTTGTGGCTGGCGCTCTGGTTGCGGCTCACCGACTTCGACGTGACAATCACCTCACCATCCGGCTGATCTGGTCGGGAGCGCACCGAGGGGAAGCCATGGGTGCTGTAGTCATCCACAGGCTGACGCCTGGGACTTGCCGGCTGCTCCCAGCTGGGAGTAGGGGCTGCTATCTGGGGCTGACTTTGCGGACGATGATGGGGCTGATGCTGATCATCTCCCACAATCTCCGTTTCGATGGTGCGCTGAGAGCTGGTGCTCTGCTTGACATTGCGGCTCTTCTCCGACTTGACCACCACCACCTCCTCCTCCTCTTTCGATGGCCTCTGGCTGGAGAACTCCTGCGTGGGCTTGTTTGGACGGACCGAGGGGAATCCGTGAGTGGAGAAGTCACTGGTTGGAGGAGCCGCCGGCTGGCGCGGAGACTGAGCAGTGGGACGGACTGCGGGAGAGCTGGTGATGGGTTGTCCGCGATCATCAAACTCCTCGACGGTCTCCGAGGTGGTTTCCGTGGAGAAGCGGCGACTCGATTTCTTCACAGAGGAGAAGCTCTGCGACTGAGTCAGCTGCTCTTGATCCACCGGCTGTTGTTGTTGCCCAGGACGACGTCCCAGTGGCTCTGCATTGTCCACCACATCCCGAGGCTGGCTCTGGTTCTGGTTCTGATTACGGATATGGCTGTCATGCACATCCTGGGTACGTCGCTGGGTCTGGCTCTGGGTCTGGGTCTGAGTCTGGCTCTGAGTTTGGCGCTGAGTTTGTGGATTTACCTGTTCGGTCTCGTAGCGCTTGTTCTTGACAATGGTGCCATCGGGCAGGCGCTTCACCGTGGTGATCATCTTTACATTGGGCTTGGGGTACTCCACCGTATTGGAGATGATCTCGCCGGGCTGGGACATCAAATGCTGGACGTGGCGCTGATACTCGGGCGAGGCCTTGTCCATGTCCACATACCGCTTGTTCTCCTCGTAGTGCTGCTGGGTCTGGACGTTCCTGGTGCTGTTGCTCTGTTCGCGACTCTCCGAGTAGCGCTCCTCCTGCTGTTGGCGCTGCTGTTGCTCCTGGAGGATGCGTTGCTCCAGGATGCGTTGCTCCTGGACGCGTTTCTCCTGGATGCGGCATTGCTCCTCCCACTCGCGCTGCTCACGCTGTTGCTGCTGCTGATGTTGCTGCTGGTACACCTTCTCCTGGTCATCCATCAGGTAACGCGGCTGGGCGGGCTCATCCCCGAAGTCCACCTTCGAGGAGGATGATGACACCACCTTCTTGGTGGACGAGGACGAGGTGGAGGTGGAGCTCACCTTCATCTCGGTGCGTCCGCTATTCTCATCGCCGAACACCACCTTCTCCTGCAGCTGGGTGTTGGTGCTCTCCGAGGCCTTCTTCACGTAGTTCTGGTCATCCCCCTGGTGCGAGGCACTCGAGCTCTGCTCGTTCCTTCCCTTAAACTCAGCCAGGCCGCCACCATTGAGCTTCTCAATGCCTGGAGCCCAGCACCATGATTGCAGATTCAGCATAGAGGCAGGACATGGCAGGAGATGGACATACGTACAAACAGAGAGAGAGGTGGAACAGAGTTAGACACACATATACATCTATCTGACAAGGGACTGGGTTAGGTTTGATGCTCAGACAGAGAGAACAGAACGGTGGTCAGGACTTACCATCTGTCTTGGCCAGAGTTTCCGTGCGGAAGGCCCTGCCATCGGGACTGACCTCCGAGGAGGTCTGCACATCCCAGCCCGTGCTGCTCGGCTGCGTGAGGGTCATTGAATGGAACTTGAGCTCATGGGTGGGGCTCATCGAGTCGCGCACCTCCTTGGACTTGAGGCTCTGGAAATTCTGGTCCAGCAGCGCGTCTCCGTGGCTTGTGGCCAGGGGATCCTTGGCCCCGAATCCAGTCAGCGACGACGTTCCATTACCATTACCGTTTCCCTGGGGCTCCGCCATTGGGTCCGCTTCGTGCCTGTAGAGATTGCAGAGACGCGACTCTCGCAGCTTGTAGAGATGCGATCGGATCTGCTTCTTGCGTTCGCTGTCCTCGGACTGCTGCCACTGCAAAAAGGGAAACAAACATAATAAAAGTGTAAGTATCCCAAACAGATCTCACAAAACACAAATACAGTGCCTCTGTCCTTGAGCCAATTAGACCCCCATCTCAAGTTGAATCGAGTGGAGTGTAGAGATGAGGTGAAGTGGAATCGCAGTGGATTGGAGTGGAATGGAGTGGAGTGCAAAGCCCACGCGTGCTCAAAGTCGCTCGCCATTCCAAGCTGCGACTAGCACGCCTTTTATGGCGCCCCCCAGAGACGGCAGTTCGCCGCAGTGCTCCTCCCCCAATCGCCCCCCTCCAATTAGCCGGCCAGCCAACACACAGTCCAGCCAGAACTGAGTCAGCAACCAGTGCCATATAGTCATATAGAAATCGACTCAATGCTGTTTCGTTTCGTGTTCGATTCCCAAGAAATGATAAAGAGATTCCGCCCCCTATTTGTTAACGGATTCCATTTCAATTCTTTCACGGGAAACCATGCAACGTGCAAATATGGTGGAACTCTAGACGAATCGAATCGACACTCCATCGAATATATTTTTAAAGAACGTAAGCAAAAACCACCCTTATCGGCGTGCATCTATGGCCCTCGCTATGCACAAGACATGTTTTGCTAAATCTCTGAGCAATCTGAAAGATTTGGAAGAAATCTAAACTCCAAATAGATTTCATTAATGATAATCGCTTGATCTGAATTAACTTCAGAAATCGAAACAAGGGATTATATTCTGCAAGACTGAAAGCTGAGAAAACTCAGGACTGGAATGGGATTTCGATTGATGATTAAATAGCTAAAAAGATTATCATCCAAAATATAATGAAATACAACCGGATCTAAGTCTGCTAAGTCTGCTTTATGAGCTTGCGTATCGGAATGGGACCGTAAATCGTATCGGTATGGGTATCGGTGGATCGGTGGATCGATGGACTGACACCTTAGCTTAAAAATAAACTGCTGAAAACCCGAATACATCGAACGAAACACTGACCGATAAGCAGTGGATCAGCACAACAAGAGCCCCAAGCGAGCACATAGGCATGCACATACATACATACATATATACATATATACATAAGTACGATTAAATCATAAATACATCATTACTATTTTTTAAAAAACAATCTAGAAAGGTGGATGATGATAGGCGGCAGGGGAACAGGAACGAGCAGCAATCAACAAATGTTGTTGGCAAACAAATTTACTGAAGTTGAAGCGAGCGATGGTGATATCACCACACCGAACTGTTCAGCGGAAAAACATGTCAAGTAACATTAACATTTGTATTAACAATAATGACACCGTTCTCGATCAACAGAGCGAGAGAGAGGGAGTGCCTAATTCAAGAAGAACTTCCTGAGCTCGTTTCAAACTTTCATTATTTAAGTTGGCAATGGGATGGGTTTCCGAGACTTTTGAAGGTTTGTAGGATTGTAGTTGTAAATTAGCAAAATTTTATTGCATTAATTGCATAAATATTCTGATATAGCAGCGCATTTTAGAATGGATCCAGGGTGTATATATGTATGAGTTTCCAGCCAACAGATGGTTATGAATTACGAATCAAAAATGCTCTTTACTAACCTTACGATTGTATGGGAATATTCGTACGATTACTATATATTGCTGTACTCGTATTTCCCACCATATCTATCTATGGATAGTAGTGAAATCTCCCCAATAGCCGGTCATCATATCCGTACAATTCCAATGATTGATGGCCGAGTGGTTTCTTTTTGGTTCAATCATTACCATTTGGCCGCAAAAACCGTAAATTTATTATTTTTTTTTTTTCGCTACACAAAGACCAAATGGCACAACAGATGGCGCTGGCTGGACCCGCTTTCACTCATTTCTCTCAGCCAATAGATGGTATTGACAAAGAAAAAAAAAACATAAATGCAATTCTCTGTGTGTGTGCGTGTGCATGTGCGTGTCTGAAAAAACTTTTCTGCAAGAACTGGTCGTCGTCAGAGTCAGAGCCGCCCAGGGTGTATTTACATGGGGGTGAGGACTAGCAGCTCTTTGAGATGTCTATTGTGATGGCCACTCCATCTGTCTCGCCGACTAGTCGACTAGCGTGAGAGCGCTTCAGTAGCTTTCTCACCTTATTCTAAATACACATTGTACGCCAACCGACGACTCTGTCTAGACTTGTAGAGCCAGCCCCGACCTCGGCTCAGGTTCGGTTCGGCTCTCGGGCCCCAACAGCACTCCACGAATGACGTAATTTCTAAAAGCGCCCATGATAACCAGTTGAAGCCGACGACGACGACGACAACAGCCGCAGCAGCAGCAGTCTTCGCACCTCTGCAGCGGCGGCACCCGGCAACCTGTTGGCGTCGACGCCGGCGCTGGCGCTGACTGCAGGCCACCCTCCTCCACTAATGATGAGGAATGGATGGATCGCTGTCTCTCTCTGCTGCTGCTGCTGCTGTTGCTGCGACAGATGATGATGATGACGTGACGTGCGAGATTTTGTTGATGTGCGAATGCTGATAAATTATTATAAAGTTTTCTGTGTTTCATTTAGTTTTTTTTGTTATTTTTTGGTTTCATTTCATTTGTGCCGTTCATTTAAATGTTTTTTTTTTTTTCTGCTGCCGTGTCAGCTTTGGAGGTCAACGCTGCGCGTTGTCATTTTTCCCCGCGGTTTTTTGGCAAGAATTTGTTATGAAAATTAATATTTAATAAAACTTAATTGAAACAAGGAAGCTTTTGATACACACGACAGACCCATCATTCCTATGCCAGATTTATGTATGTACATACACACATATATATGTATATCTGCTAAAGTAATACGACGTGAATACAACTGAAACTTCTTCAACAGTTTCCGGGGGTGGAAGGCGGAGAATTCCAAGTAGGTCATTCCATTGTGCAAAACGCTGCGAATAACACATGATTAACTGTTTTCCCCCCACCTTTCAATTGCATATCAATGGAGATAAGCCCCAAGAATTTCGTAGTGTAGATAGCTGGCTATCAAGACAGGGGGGGAGAACGCGAGAGAGAGAGAGAGAGAGATCAGCAGGCGATGGTGAGAGAGCAAAATAAAGGCACTACAGCGCCACCTGTTGTTGTCTCTTGGTGCGTGGGCACCGCTTTGGCATTGAAAAGTGATCAGATAGGGATAGAGAGAGCAGTAGAGGAGGGTACACTGAGAAAAATTCATATACTTTTTTTCACCTCATTTTCTGATTTCATTTTTGTGGTATATTTCTATTATATAATATTTTTCCAACAGTTCTCCGAAATATCAGCCAAAAAGACCCCAAAGAAACCTTGGAGTTGGATGTAGCATAGTTTACATGCAATACCCGTAACTCAGCCGATTTTTGGCATAGGTGATATTTTTTAAATGCAATTTCGACCTTGTTTTTGTGCAGTGTGGCAAAGATAACGACAGAGCGGCGGCGTACTGTAAAAAGTGAGTGAGAGAGCGGTCGAGAGCGGCGGCCATCGGCAATCAGTTCAATTTATGAAATTGTTTTGCACTTTGAACACCTCCCCACCCCACCACATCGCACAGCCCACCCACCCACCACCAATCTCTGACTTGGGGCGTCAGTGGTTATTTTTATACCAATTTCGTTTCAATTTTGATGGCTTTTAATGTGCAAGCGACCTAATTGCCTCTGTCCGTCCGTCATCCAGTGCCGACGGCCCAGAGCATTGCCAATTGCGAATGAGAATTGTGTCAGCAGCAGCAGCACAGCAGCGACGGCAAAGCGTCGCTGACGTGTACGCTAACGTCGACGTCGGCAATGCACTATAATTAAGAGGGGTACAAAAGTCCCAAAGAGCGTCCCTCTATGCGGCAGCTGTTTCACTTTTAGATTTTGATAAGTGTGAAATATCGCATACAATATCATATGAATCAAAGGCTTATACATATATACACATGTATATTAGCGTAAATATTTTTGTAACTGCCATACCTTCTAGCTAATATACCTTCCGCTGGCGGCCGCAGAGCCGAGAGCGAGCGAGACATGTTTATGCTTGCGCTGTCGTAGACGGTATTATTTGTATTTGTTTTTTTTTTTCTATTTTGTTTTCGATTTTTCGGTTCTGCTGTTAATTGTTTTTCGTCTTATTTTGGGTATGACATCGCCCCAGGTGAATAAAACATGCCCCCAGCCAGTCAATGCCCACCCCCTCTACCATGTGTTCTGTTCTCCGAAAGTGGAGCACTTTCGTGGGCCCCCGCCTGCATACTAAGCACCAATCCGGGGGCTCTACTGTGCGCCATGGGAAAAATCGTATAACTTCGTTTTTGTCTTTGTTTCTATCTCGTTTTGATCGATGGACAGCTGTCAAGTGCTGTCGTGTGTGCAGAGGGGTACATATGTGGTTTTGGTAGGGGGTATGGGGGATATGTAGGCATCGCACACGCATTGAAAATTTTAATGCAAACTTGATATATGGCCGATGAATCCGTCGTATCCCCATCGCATGCATCGTAGCCATATTTGTGTGGAAATTACGCGAAACAGCAGAGATCTCCCTCAATCTCAAAAAGTAGTCGAAATGATCTCATACGAAGCGAATGGGAGAATATCTTTATGCATAACGGAGTCCACACAATAACTTTGATTTATTTATTACTGCATTCGGAGTTCCGCTCCGAACCGTTCCTCACAATGATTTGTGATTACTCGTACTTCACATCAAACTGATTCCGCATATAAAAGGCCTCGAAACTCCATCAGAGATTGATCATATTCGAACGAAATACATCGAATATCTCAAAATCCATTCGATACGCAATCACGTAGTTTCGTCGAATAAAATCTATACGATCTGATATCACGATTTCTTGATAAATTCCGATGCTTTCCCGAAATCGTATGTATATCAGATTTGAATCAGATTTCATGAGTTTCAATCTGCACCCAGCGCACTTGAACCTTAATTGAATGAAAGTGTGGTTTATTCGTTTTTATAATTTGAGAAGCCCATAAAAATAGATCCTCCAATTGATCTTGGAAAGATATGAATTCAGTGAGTGGCCATAGCTGATCTGGCGTAAAGAAGTTTTCACCCAAGTGACTGGTCATTCAATTACTGGAAAAATCTGATCTGAAATAAAATTTCCCCACAAAACTTCACAACTCTCCACGTTTAGGAATAGTTTTTTTCCAGTGGTTGCTGAACCTAACATATCTTTGATAGAGTGAAAATAATAGAATAGATTTGCCTATGAGATCATCGACCCCCACCACAAAAATTAACAATTTTATAATCTGAAGATCTATCATAATAATGAGACCAATTATAAGGCTAGAACGATGCCGGTTCGGACAGGGATCCCTTTTGGCTATGATCTCGTTTTCTTACAAGTCGTAGAACGGTAGAGCTAGTCGCCAAGGCCAACAGCCTACGGCAGTGGAAACGTGTTCTACTGTAATTAGATGCACTCCAGATTAGCATATGGCCGCTGGCAAGGTTTGCTATGCAGCCCCGCCACCGCCACCGCCATCGCCTTCGACCAGCTGTTCTTGGACTCTTCAAACAACTGATGAAAGACCCAAGCGGGGCACTAATTCCCAGATAAGATCCGTTCGTTTGTTTGTTTACCAGCCACTTAGGCAAGATACAGATACAGAAGCATTCATAGTACATAGATACAGATACGAAAACCGTTCGCTGACTAACTGTTGTGCAAAGTCAAAAGATACAGAGAACAAGAGTAAAGAGGACAGGCAGGCAGGGGCCAAACTGTGTGTGTGCGAAAGTGTGAAAAGTGCTCAAGGTAGAGTCGCGAGAGCGTAGGACGCCCAATATTGCGCACAGACTCTTCCCGAAAGTAAAAACTCTTTGTATGCACATATATTCGGACAGTTAAGATACCTTGTAATTCGATTTATAGCTTGCACTATAAGAAACTGATCCTGATACTGATACAGACAAAATAATTTTAATTGCTCGAAATATGAACTTTTTTGGCTTATTCTGGCTGTTATAATTATCTCTATTTTTAAGTTTTCGATAGAACGCTGGAATTCGATCGAATACACCTGGATGTATAACTTCAACTTCCGCCTAACTTTTAAAGTGGAAAAACTTTTAAAAAGCTCGTGGTCTGCAGTAAAGTTAGTCTCCTTAATAGTCCCTGTTACACGTGATTCAACCACACCCGATATACCCTCATGCCTTCGGAGTGTAGGGTATGAACATAAATTACCTCAGGCGACGGGTTGGTTTGGTTTGGGCAGAGAGATAAATGTGTGATCTCCTCTGTTGCTGATGTTCCTCTCTTCAGTCCACTTTTTTCGCTGATCCTCTCTTCGTGTTGTAGCTGTTGTATTTGTTGCAAACCGGCAAACACAGGAGAAATGAATACGGCTGTTGGGTAGACGTGTCTAATCCTTGTCGCGCCTTGATCTCAGGTTCTGTCGTGTGTTCCTTTTCTCTCTTTTTCTCGTGCAACAAAAAGCTAATAATTTTAAACTTTTTCTATAATTTTTTTTTGCGTCCGCCAGGTAAAAAAAAACAAACAAAACAAAAAACAATGATCGTGGCTTTTGTATTTGGGTTTTGGGTTTTGTGTGTGGGGCTGCTGCTGCTTCACGGAGCGTTCAGAGCACGTTGCAATCGAGGCACCAAAATAATTCAGACTGAAGTTTCCAATCAGAATCAAAGCCGCGTAAAGTGGACGGCGACGGGCCCAAAGCTTAGACGCTGTCGTCATCAGCTGACGCCGGCAGCAGCAGAAGCAGCAACAGCAACAGCAATAGCAGCGACTGAAGCAGAGAGCCGAGAGATATGACCGAATACGAATACTTACGAATGCGAAGATGACGAGACCCGACTCTGCCTGCCGCACAGTGTCTTGGGAGCGTGCAATTTCTCTCGGATTCCGCTCCGGGCTGAGCTTTGGCAGCGGGCTCTCTCTGTTTTGTCCGTTGCCGGAGCAGGCGAGGACACTGTGGCAGCCACAAGGAGGGTCTGGTCCGCGTTCAGGAAACAAATGATTCAAGCAGATTCCAATCATTGGTTGGATCGAACCTTCAATATTTCCAAATATCAACACGGAAAAAAGGTGCAATTCGGGGACATACCCTACGATTTATTTGCATACATTTCGAACGATTTTTACTTTTTCGAAACCAATTTTACAAGAATTCTATGAGTATACCCTTGGTGTGGTGTATGTATACGTACATACATATACATATAATGTATTTATTCAGTTTAACATGCAGAACGATCCATATAAATTACAATATTTATTCGCTGACACCACATCGAAATGAAAATGTATACATGGAGAGTTATGTATATTGCTTCGCCTGCAATTATTGTTACAGTCACAATGAAGACCTGGAACCTATTTACTATATTCCTTCTTGCCATTCCCGTTTGTAATCCTTTCGCCGGAAGTCCCATTTATAATAGTACGTAAGATTAAGTCGGTTTTTGAACCTAACTTTTAATGGATTTTTATACTTATCTAGCTGTCTGCGTACTCACTGGCGGCCGGCTCAAATGCTATGTTGACAACACTTGGGGCTTCAATCATAAGACTAAAGAATGTTATGAAATCCGCAGGGGCAAAGAACCGTGCGGATTCTTTGATGGAAAAAAGGGCTGTGAGGATTTTTGCCACAGACCTCCGGGAACACAGAAGAAAGGTTGATTTTGTACCCCACTAATTTTTCCCAACTTGTACTAAAAATCCAACTATGTATACTGTGATTCTGTTTTTCTGGAAAAATATAAAAGTTTTCCATAGCTGATTTTCTTATCAAATTATTTGCGCAAAATCACCTATAAGTTCTGCTAATAATTGGATTTCGAGTCTTGGACAGAGACTTCCCTGACCTGTCCTGATTGAAAAACTGGCTATATTTATCTGTGCTAAGTATAAGCGTAATATCTTTGAAATGGTGGAGTCCATAGAAGTTCAGCTTTTTCCCTTTTTGTCTGCTCCACTGCCGCCCACGCTTCAATCCTCTCCTCTCTCGGTTACATTTTTTACAATAATTGATCGTGCCAATATTGAAAATAAATATTGTTTGTTCATCAATGAACGTGTTCGGCCTTGATTTTTCGCAACTTTCGAGAAAGAATGGGATGGGACTCCTTCGCTGTGTCACTGTCACCTTTCCCGTCACCTTGCCCGTGTTTGAATCCACAAATAAATCACTCAATCAGTGCCCGCCGAGGGGTGGGTGTCATTGTTGCATTATAATAGTGTTCACATTTATGTAAACAAATAGGATATATGTACAAATACATATGTATGTCCATATGTATATTCGAAGAGTTTGGGACTATTTCCAGAGCCCTCGATCGGGTTACAATATCGTAACTGGTGAGGGAGGGGCGCCCACATTCAACAAATTTTGTTTTCGAACAAAATTACTCATCGACGAGACGTAAGACAGAGGGAGGGGGTGGGGTGGGAGAATGATAGTGGCGCAGACGTTGCGCAGACGTTGCGCAGACGTAGACGCAGTAGTCGTGACTAGACGAAGCTGAGAGAGAGAGGGGCTTCCACTGTACAGTGGCCACCACTTGCTGCATTTGGCCATTTGCCATACGCGGGTGTCTCTGTGCCAATTCGATTCTGGCTTATTGATTTATATAGCGTCGACGGCGGTGGCAGCGACAGCAGCAGCGACGGACAACCCACGCCGGGGCTTAATCGAGTCGAATCGAAACGAATCGAGTCTGGCCTCATGGCCAGACCTGAATCGTGAAACAGCCAACGCTCTCTGCTCTGCTCTGTTCTGTTCTGTTCTGTTCTGCCGAATGCCAGGGATGCACATTCTTTGAAATGTAGAGCAGAAATGCCGAAGGAGGAATACTCTGACTGTCAGCAGCAGCAGCATTCGGTTATCTCTCTTTCACGCACACAAACTTAGAGACCCAGCAGAGCTTCCATCGCATTTAAGTCAGGCCTTGCATGACATCATCGCCAGGAGCTGATCAGATGAGTGGACAGCAGCACAGAGAGGAGTATAAAGGCAGCGTAGGCAAGCAATGCAGCATGGCAAAAGGAGAAGAGAGCAAAGCATCTTAGAGAGGATCCGATGAAAGCGCTGGCTGACAGAAGAATAAAGCGCAGACGAGGGGGAGTTCTCAGTGTTCTCTACCTGCTCTTAGGTGTACATACATATGTGAACCAGGTGAGGCACACTCCCGCTGTTTGAGTGGCCACCACAATGATAGAGAGCGTTCTTTGGCACTGCCCCACCTTGTAATAATACACTTTGGCAGATACGCGGGGAACAGGCTGACCAGTGAGAGAGGGAGAGAGAGAGAGAGAGAGAGGAGGAGCAGGCAGGCAGGCACGACCAAACGCAAAATAACAGAAGATAGCGGGGAGGATGCGAGGAAGGGCAACTTGATTCTGGCAGGCCAGAGGCCAAAACGCTGAAATTGATTCATGGCCAATGACTCATCCGAGGCTTTATCATCCAGCAGCAGAGAAGAAGGCAGCAGGCAGCGCAGCCGCAGAAATGCCACTGCGCAGCTTCCCAATTGGCCGGCCGGCTGGCTGCGTCGACGTCGACACCGTCGCTGACTGCGTGGGCTGTGTGGATCGTCTGCTGCGTCTGCTATACCCTCGATGGCGGTAATATTATTTTGACCACATTTTTGCCACACCAGAGATAAAAGCATCAGTAAACCAATAAACTGTGTATATACATATACATATTTATTATTACGTCTTTCATGATCGGGCTACTATATCATTTACCATGGGAAAACACCCGTTGCTGGTGCTAAAAAACGGTTGTTTTTCTAAGTGGAAAGTTGCAGTTTCTTGTCTAATCTCACCTTATCTTATCATTCAACAACATTTGGAACAATTAGCTAAAAACCCATTCTTAGTAAAACATTTGTCCTTTGATTTGGTTCTGATATTTTTTGGTTTTTCTCAGAGCACTGGGAAAGCTGCTCAAAATTTGTTGACTATATCGAAGATACCATGGACTATAGATACCATGAGGGTATTGAAATCTTCGACCCTGCATTGGTAGATACATATTTGTGTCTTGTTCTTTATTGATGCAGATGCCAGCTTTTTGTAGATACATACATAGATCATTATTTGGTCAGGTCTCTCTTATGCGTCGTCGTCGTCATCGTCATCGCTTTTCCATTGATTTTTCTAACGACTTTTTAACGATTATTGCCAGCGTCTGAGCCAAGTCAGGAGACGAGTGGCGGCCCACGCCGCGCGACACGACTCGTCGCGACGCGACAACAGCCAACGAGAACAGCAACAGCAAGAGGCAACCCCATAAATGACCCAATTTGGTCAGGTTGAACTGGGTTGGGTTGATGGACTGAGCGATTGACTAAGTGAGTGACTGGATTGAGTGGATCCCAATCCCATCTCTGGCTATGGTCCATTCTGGAAAGTGTCGTCTGGGTCTGCTCTTTAAAGGCAATGACAACAGCATCAGGGACGGGTCCAGGTCCAGGTCCAGCTCCAGAAAAGAGGCAATGAACCTTACCGACGAGGTGGGCGATGACGGGAAAGAGAGAAACGGCTAAGATAAAGGTGGAGAAGTGTCCAGAAGAGGTTGCAAAAGTTCGCCTAAAATATCCTAAAGTTGGGTGAAGCATCGTGGAGAAATTGAGAATAATAGAGCGAAGGAAACGAGTGGAATGATTTCCCTTAAATCACTTTATAAATAAAGATCTTGTGCCAGAACTTACCATTTTCCTCAGCAATTCCTCATTTTGTATAGCACCCAAATCGCATTCCAACTCCATCTCAAAAATATCTGAAAAATGGAGGAAACAGAAATAATCTCTAAAACATTGTATGGAATATAAAGAATTTCATTATAAGGAAGGACTTTGAAAAATAAAGATGCATTTATCGGAATTCAGTGGAAAGCAAAGAAAATGGTGAATGGAACTGTATTTTTGCGGAGAGATAGATAGATACATACTCGTATGTACATCAAATGGAACTTAACTAGATAGTTAAGGAGACAAAGCAGATTTTTAAAGATTATCTAGGGAAAGCAATCTTTGTAGATTTTGGGTGATGATGCAATTATTTCAATGTCCATTTCTCACTTTGATTTATTTTAACTTGATGATTTTGTTCATTTTATTTTGCTGTGGTTGGTTCGCTGAGTAATATTATTTGCGATCTATCATGATGAACGAGGCAAGCCAGAAGCAGAGCGTCCCCACACCCCAACAGGTTGTGACATTTCCCCCCTAAATGGCCAAGATCGAACATGGCCAACAGCAGCAGCAGCCGCATCAGCAGCATCAACTGCATGCGAATACGAGTACTCGTAAAAACAAATGACAGAGCCATGAGCAGTGCTGTTGTTGCTGCTCATTGAATTGCCAGCTTGATTAGCACGGGCTCCGATGCAATTTTGGTTAGAGAGAAGCTGACCGGGGGGAGGGGTGCGGAGCGGTGCGGTGTGGTGTGGTGGGGGCCAAAAGCCAAACAAGTTCAAAAAACCACAATTGGGCAAGCCACTCCATCAGCCTGATGAGTTTGAGTTGCCCCTCGGTGCCAAAACACGATTGAACTTGAAACAGAATCGAATTGCTAGAGAGATACTCGTACTTAGGGGTGTCTGAATGAGTTAGGAACTGTAATAAACTGTAAGCTAAAATATCTCAGGGAAAAACCAGCTCCATTGATGTAGAATTGAGGCATACTTTCAGTCTCAATTTGTCTATCTTTCATTGTTTTGTTTATCTTCATCCATACCTAAAAAGTTACTCCATGCATTTTTCTCACATTCATCTAAGCAATCGCTGCTCTATCCAGATACAAAATCCACTGTACTGTACATATAGCATCTACTACTGCATGGGGTCAAAATGAAAATGGGACCCTTGCAAACTCCCATAAAAGGGACACAAAAGGGTCATTTAACTTACCGACACTTATCTATAGACGAGACTGGGCTCTCAAATGGGCTTTGAATTTGCATTTATGCTTTTTACGATTATTGCCATAAATCTTGTCTGACCAAATCCGTGCGAGTGTTCGATAATAAAACGGTTTTTAATTGCCGCACAGCTAAATGCAAGATTTGTGTTTCGATTTTTGGCCATTTATAAATTTATGTGATTCTGTGATCGGATCGGTGACCAGAAGAAGAGATCTGTTGTGATCTGATCTGTGAATCTTAGGGCATTGGCCACACGCCCTCCCACGCTGCATGGATGGCCGTATTTTGTGTAAGGTATGGGTTTAGTCTGGCATACATCTCTTTATTGGTTTTTCGATTTGATAGATGACCCATAAACGCGTTAAATGGATGTTTGACTTGACGTTTGAATAGGCTTTGATTTGAGCCCCCGATGTTTTTGTAATCGCCATTCAAATTTTAATCGAAAATCAGAGAAAGGGACTTATAAAGTTTGCATATGAAGGTAGGATATGAAGATCATACACATATAGGAACAATTGTGGATATATAGATAAATAGATGAGAATATCATAGATAAAATGTTCATTAATAGGAAGATCATAGTACAAAGATAGCACAGAAATATAAAGGGCTATGATCTTGATAGACATGTTATGGTATATACATACATACATATACATTCATGTATGTATACTTGTAAAAATACAAGAAATATACATATATGACGATCATATATTAATAACAGATCATTATAGACAGGAGCTCTGGTCGAATGATTAAAGATCAAGGATCTAGATTATCATGTAAAAAAGATAGATGATCAAGAGTACAATTACTGATATGGTGATGGAAGATTAAAGATAGCTATATGATTATAGCTAGAATACAAATCATACGTACATATGTATACAATTCTAGATCTGTAATAAGCAGATTTTTGAATACTTCCATCTACACATATACACTATAGATAGATGTTTTGTATATAGAATACTATTAAATGATTTCTTTATTTGATCTGCAGATATAGAACTTTGCAAAAACCATACGGCTAAGATATATGTAGATTATAGTCAAAGATGGAAAACCAGAAAACAAATCACATTAAGTCCTCAACCTGAGTAGAGGGTATTCCATAGTCGGAATGTCGATTAGAGAATTTTTGTTTGTTTTGCATGGTTTTTTGTTACGTGCCGCATGCCGCTAGATGGCGCCAGACCATCAGGAAAACCGCAAAAATCACCGCAAAACTGTTAGAATTCCCCTCCAACATTGTATCTCTCTGTGGCACTCACCTGCTGCTCTGCTGCTTCTGCTTGTTGTTGCTTCTGCTGCTGTTGCTGTGGCTGCTGTGCTGCTTATCAGAGATGTCGACTTCGAGGTGGCGGCTTTCGTAACTTGAGATGGAAACGCGGAGCGAGATGGCGACAAAAGACGCGTGGAAAACAACAATTAAATGCACATTTTTTTTCTTTATCTGTGTGTTTGCTTGTGTGGATATGCGATTCGCTTGGCAAATATTTAATCTGTGAATAGTTTAATTTACAGAAAGATCAGGTTGCCCGGGTTTCGGTCTGTGTCTCTGGGCTCTCCTTCGGACAGCGACGGCGGTGGACGTGCGGCTTTGTCAGCGACTTGTGCGCGGTTTTTATCGCATGCAAAGTGTTTGCTTTCCTCTTTCCCTCTCTCTCTCTATCTCTCTCTCTCTGTCTGTTTGATTGACGATTGATTGATTGCGGTTTGATCCGTTGGTTGTTTATTTTTGTAGGGTTGATTAATTAGAGTTCAAGCAATAAAAACATTAAAAAATATTCACGAAAAATAAAAAAGAACGCACAAAAAAAGCACAACAGGGCTTTAATCGATGTCGATGTATCGAAAATTATATCGAAAATCGTTAAGCGAGTACCGTTTGGGTAACGTTCCGTGGGCAGGGGGGGTGCTGAGGCTGAGGGCGGGACTGGTGGCGATGGAGATGCGTTTTTGAACCGTTTGGCACGAGCGGAGGCTCTTGACTGATTGTGGAAGCCCCCGTACTGGCTGCATTTAGGCTCGCTCCCGGCAGAGCGTGGCTGGACGCCAGCAGCGCCGTCGACTGGGACTGGGGCTGAGGCTGGGCTCCCCTTCTAGATATTCCTCTCTCTCTCTTTGGGACTGTCCCCCCTTGTTCAAGATCTGGATGTGGTTCGCCTCGCCTGGGCGTCGCTCATGCTGTCAATACTCTGCTGCCTCTGCATATTTTTTACATACCCCTGAAAAGGGTATTTCAATTTTGATCATATGCTTGTGTGTCCCAAAAAATAACAAAAAAAACTTTTCTCTATTTATTTTTGTGAAACATCTCTTTGAAACGCTAAAATTGAGATACAAAAAAATTTTATTTGTAAATGGATTTTGATTTTCAAATGCATTTCTCTGTAGAAGCAGACGTAGAAAGATTTTAGCTATTAAATTTTGAGCTACGAGGGTATCAAAACTTCGGCGCTTTAAAGAGACTTTTCGTGGCGTTTTTATGTGTATGAATTTTGATCCTAAGAGATAAGGAAAGTGGCAAAAGCAGCGGCAGATCTGAGGGATTAGTTGAAAGAGAGCGAGAGAGAGAGCCTATGTTGTGAAAGAGAATAAGAGAGTGGTGGGCCGGAAGGAGTGGCGAATACCAAACAACTTACTAATTCTTGGGGACTCTTCGGAGATGAAAAGCACAAAATCATCTTGATATCGACAGATTTGGATTTTATTTCTACAAATTTTTGTAATTAAATGTCTAATGCTTCTAAAACTCAAAGTGTATGGTAAAAACCAAACACAACAAAACAAAGAAGAAAAACACCAAAGAAATTTTTCTATTTTATCATCAAATATTATTCACTAATTAATTGAATAAATAAATATCTATTTTTTGTCATTGAGAGGCGGGAGAAACAAAGTGAAGGTCAAAGTTTACACACATAGCTTTATAAGCCCTTTGGTTCTCCTTCATAACTTATCTTTGGCTCTCTCTTCATCCAGTAAGTAATGAAAATAGTCATGTGTTTGTCTTCCAGAAAGACATACAAAAAGAGAGTCCCAGCAAGAGAGTCCCAGCTTGATCATCCCAAAGATAAGGTGAGTCATTGCCGCTCATCAGTCCTCTTCTTTTTATTTATCTACCAACAAAATATGTACCTATGTACATATCTATGTATGTGAGAATGCTCGTTCTCTGGGCACACCCTAAATTAATACACTTTGGCTAATCCCTTCGGCATGTGGCTCTTCCTCAGGTGTGGGCAGGTGCGAGAGAGATGGACGTCGGCGCTCGCATGGCCTTATCGCGAGTGCTTGTCAAAATGGTGTGGACGAGGACGAAGCTGTTGCCGAAAACAACGCGAATTTCGAATGCCACAGGGTCAGTGGGGCATACTGTTTTGGACAGAACCACCTGACAATGATCATCATGATGCTGCTGCACTTGCTCGGGCGCCATTGTGCGTGTCTGTGCATGCGTGTGAGTGTGTTGCGCGTGTGTTGAATGTCAACCAACGTCAGCGATCAGTGTCAATTGCATAAAAATCGGATGAATCGCCTGCAAATTCTAGGAAAACATTGTTGTTTATGCAACTGGCACAAGGAGAGCAGCAGCAGCAGACAACAGACAGCATCAGGAGCAAAACGCACGTCCCACCCAACAAAAATATCTTCAGTTTTGTTAAATTTTAACATTAGGACTGGCATGCCAACATGCTGCCAGCAGCGAAATGTTGCTAATGCAGAACTAACGGGCAGCGCAAGCAACATCTGCTGCCAAAGGGCTGGCTTCACCTTGACTCAGGTCTGGAAATGAGTGAAAGCCATGCCCAAAACCGCACTCATTGTCCACGTTTGGGCACTGTCCTTGCTGCCTGTCCCAGGCTGTGCCTAGGCCTGTGCCTGGGCTGACGTCAGCACGTAGGCAGCAGCTGAAGAGGCGACTGCAACTGCAACGCGCGTCTACAGCATGTTGCCGCCTTAAAAGGTGAGGACAACTCTGCAACTGCCACCGTTTTTTGCCAGTAAAACGCACGAAAGCTCCAACTGCATCACAGCAAAAAGTGGCATTTACGTTTTGTCTTTTATTAATTTATTTTAAGTGATTCACAAACTGAAACCGAAATCGAAAATGAAAATGGAACCTTGGAAGCCCCGAAAAATGGTCAATCGATTTGATTTGATTTGACTCTGGCGACTGTATGGCAGGAGCTGAGGAGACTACCAAACCGTCAAAGGCAAAAGCTCTAGTGACACTGAGAATTGGATATACAAAATATAGTTTACATATTTTCTATTGCTATTCCGACTTTTCCATAGTGCACGATCCTCGTGAATATTACCATCACCCAGAGAAAAAGCCTTTAGAATTGAATAGTTACACTTCCACTTAAAAATATATGCGACCGAGAGTCGAAACTGTAAAAAGAAAGTGTTTTTACTTACACTTTACCATTGATATACAAAAAATAATAATAATTTAAATGAAAAAAATGTGGAAAAATATATTTATTTTCAAGTTTTATATACTAAATATGGGGCGTATTAAAAAGACTTTTTAATTGAGTTAAAGTAAATTCTATTAAATTTCTTAAGCCCCGAATATTTAATTATAATATGGATGTGTTTCTTTTTACCATGCCATTTTCCTCTGATTGCGTTACTAACGCTTAAATAAGACGTAATCAATTTATGAAGTTGTGAGATTGTAAGATATCTCTAAACAATATATGTACATACATATGTACATATGTATTTATATTAATATGGAAATGCTGTTTTGGATTATGGAATAAACAAATCAAACCACGTCTAGAACTAAATCCCGGAATAAGAACTAGAATGAGATGGAACAGATAGCTACTTCCTGAATGTCTAACTCTAATCGTTGTAAAATCATTCTGAATCTTTGCAGATCTTTAGATATACAATTCCACCATGCAAATTGCATTTTGTATTCTCAATTCCCATTTTCTGGGGAAAATTTTGTATCTTCTCGAGGAATCTACAAAGTCTCACCAATGATTCGCAAATAAAGCTCTCAAATATCGAACAATGAGCGGGTACGTTGTGAGCCGCGTCAAGGTCCGCGTCTCTACTTTTATATCCGCTACTCAGTCAGTCTATGTACATATATGTATACGTGAGCTTATGATTTATGTAATTTATGGAATATATTTTATTTGTCGTATGGCATCGCTGTTTTCTCTGTTTCGGGAGATTTTTATGTATTCGATTTTATCTGTTTCCATTTTTCTTTCCATCTGTTTCTTTATCTCTATTCTCATACCATCACCAATCATAATCCAAATCGGCAATGTGTTAGATATAGTCATTCTCTATGATTCTGGGTTTTTGGATTTTTTGTATCTTCAAAATTTTGGACTCCACGGATTTTCGTCCTTTGAAGGGGCGGAGCTGAATTTTGAAATGCACTTGTAATAGTATGAGATTCCAGAAGTCTGGATTCAAAATTTGGTTGCTCTTGCTCTTATAGTCTCTGAGAACTTGGCTTTTAAAAAGACGGACAGGTGGACATGGCTATATCGACTAGGCTATTGATGCTGATCAGGAATATATGCATATACTTTATGGGTCCGTCTGAGTTATGCACACATCCAGTTTCACCACAAATTTAATATACCCTTTGAGTATTCGGGTATAATCATGGTAAAGAGTTGAAGTCACGTCAAAATTTGGAGAAAGATGACTGGATGAAAGATGCTTTTTAGATTATACAAACAAATATATCATATATGTATGTATGCAAAAAGAATAAAGCCAGAAGGCTGATTGCAGTGATCTTTGTGTATACCTTTATAAGGGATGATGTAAATCATTAGAGCCTGAATTGATCAGGTCAGGGATCCGCTCGCAACAATTCGCGGGGCTTGGTATAATCAGAACATCAATATCCTTAGACCATCCCCAGACCAAAGCTCTTGGGTATCTATCCTATAAAAAATGCGCAATAATTTGAACATGAATGAAGTTACTTTATTTGAACTATAAATGTATGCATGGTTTAATAAGTTTAATGGATTTTGTGTTTTTGTTGTTGTGTGGAATATTCGAAGTGAACTCTAAGAACTAATCAGTGCTAATTACAACTTAGTCATATCGTATCGGTATATCATATCATATATGGTGGGTCGGACGAGCTGCCCGTATGATCTCTCTCTCTCTCTTTAAACGTTCTGTATCAATACGATGTATGTATGTAAATGTAGGGTCGATGTTCGATGATATCAATATGAAAGCAACAAAAATTCATCAAATGTGTGCAAAAAATTCAAATACAAAAAAATATTATTATTAAATGTATGATAAATGTATATGGTATATATATAGTATATATATAGTGGAATATGCTGATCTGATATTGTAACTTATGATCTCTATATAGGCCTAGGCAGACTCTGAATAATTCAAAATAAAATCACATCTAATTCGCTGAATGGAAGAAATGGAATAATGGCCAAGACGGAAGTCTATCTCTCTCTTACTCCATGTATCTCTCCCGCATCCTCTCTCTCTCTCTCTCTTTCTGAATAAAACTATAGCATTGCATGATCTTAGAAAAATATATGAATAAATGAATGAAGAGACAGAGAGAGAGAGGTAGGGATGATACGTAGGAGGCAAGAGCCTATGCTATATCAACAATATACATAGTCATCCCCTCCCCCGCCCGATACGAGGGGGATTCTATAATTTTGGCACAGCTTGGGACACCTCTTGATTGCTTGGGGAATGGCCTGGCTGGTTTTGGTTTTTGGGATAGGATAGGATAGGGTTGGGGTTGGGGTTCTCTATTCCTAATACTAATAGGTGTCTTGGTTTAAGATTCTCTTTTACGAACTAAACTATTTGTTATACTAAGTGCTGGCTAATACATAGTATATGTATATGTACGATTAACGATTAGCGCTTAGTGAATACTATGAAATACGAATTGGAAGAGCGCGAAAGGAAGAGTTGTCAAGGTTACAATTGTTGCTGTTGCTGTTACGGCATTGCTGTTGTTGCAGTTGGTTTTAGGGTTCGAGCAGCTCGAACGCTTGGCGGTACATTCTACAATATATCCTATTGAAAAAAATATATTATAGTAACGAGGATTGCACACACACTGAGATTATGTAGTAGGAAGTAACTTAAAAACAAAGTGGAAGAGATGTGGGGGCAGAATGGAGACCGCATCGGTGGGAGGGGGGACATGGTTCGCAGATCGCCTGTGTTTCCATCTGGTTTCAATCTGTCACGCCTAGATGGACCAACTGCTGCATGGTGCGCTGCAGGTAGGTGGGATCCGGGAACATATTAAACTGCGTCTTGTGATCGACACTATTCCAGATGACTACGTCCTCCCGGCCCGTGGTCACCGATCGTCCAATCGAGAAAAGCAGGCGCCGATCGAAGGCGATCTTCAGGAAGCGCAACACCTTGCGGCCCAGCGGGCAGTCGGGCAGGTAGCAGATACGCGGAAAGCCCACGGCAAAAAATGCACGACCCGGATGCGGATGCTCGGATGTCTGCAGACCAGAGGCAATGCTGTCAAAGAGAGAGGGAGACGGCTATAGATGGATACATGGGATCATATATGATTTGATTCTCACTCGTAGACAATCTGTATGGTGTTCTGGCCCTCGTGACCGGGCAGGTTCTTGCTAATGATGCTCCAGGACATGCTGCCGATGGGCTGGTTACCCACCTTTTCACCATAGACGATACCGCACACGGGACACTCAATAAAGAGGTTCTGCACAAGCGAGAGAGAGAGCGTTAGAAATAGAGTCTCCTTATCCTTGTCTATTCCATTCCCATTCCGTACCTTGTTCATGTCGTTCTGCTGGTCAATGATCATGCCATTGAGGCACTGGAGGTGCATCAGATGCTGGCAACGACTCAGCGATATGGCCGGATTCTGGGCGGAGTGCACCAGCTCCTCCATGCACATGGGACAGGGCTGGGCATTGGGCCATAGGGGCGGCTCTACCACCTTCACGAATCGCGATATCATGTCGCTGGCCGGATCCACGCCCACAATCGAACCGGCGATTGATTGCTGCTGGAGTTGAAGCTGGAGCTGCTGCTGTTGTTGTTGCTGTTGCTGCTGGTGCGGATGCAGAGGCAGCGGTGGCGGCACTGGGGCCCGTTCGCCCAGCGATGAAGGCGGCAGCGATGGCACAAACACCTCGTCACTGCCCAGGGAGCAGTCGAGCAGATCATTTACAGATATGGCAAAGTTGCGGCTCCTAAGGCTCTCCTTGCTCTCGTGGCTGAGGTAAGTGGAGACGGTGTCCACGCTCGGGCGTCGCCGGTGCGACTTGACGCTGTTCGTATCCGTGTCGGAGGCACGCGTCCGTGACCGGGACCTATGCGACCCGAGGCGGCTGCTCCGCTGCGACTGCAGCGATCCCTCCGAACAGCGGCTGTGGTGGCTGTTCATCGACGAGGTCACAATGTTCTTGCCGTGCGTGAAATGAGAATTAGAGATGGTGTGGGCGTGGGCGTGGGTGTGGGCATGTGTGTGTGTGTGGGGGTGCCCGTGCGAGTGTGGCATATGGCTGCTGTGGTGAAGAGTGTGCGTGGAGGCCGAGGCCGATGAGGAGGAAGAACTGGCACTGGCTGCCGGCATGCTCGAGTGCTTGGTGCTGCTGCCGAAGATGTTCAGATTGTTGAGTATCTGACGCAGATTGGTCGTGGATATCTCGCTGTGCTTCTTCGGCGGCTTCCTTGGTGCCGTCTGATGATGATGATGATGCTGCTGCTGCTGTTGATGCTGTTGTTGCTGCTGCTGCTGCTGCTGCTGATGATGCATCTGCTGCTGTTGCTGCTGCTGCGCATGATGATGGTGATGGTGGGTTGCAGGCAGCGGATGCTGTTGCCGATTCATGGGCATTCGATGGAGCGACTTGCTCTCCACCAACTTTGTCAACGTGGTGTAGTTGCTGGCATTGCTGCTGCTCTTCAGCTGGATGGCCTGCTGTGGCGTGAGCTTCACCAGCGGATAGGGAGCTTGCTGGGTGCGCCGTATGCTGCGCATCGGTCCGCTTGGCTGCCGCAGCTGGGTGAGATTACAGAAATTGATGGTGTAGGGGAGCCCGATGTTGGTGCGGCATAGATCTAGCGTTTGTTCGCCCTTAAAAAAGAGAGAATTCGAGAATCTATTGGGAAGCTCAAAAAGAGAGACGGAAAGACTCACCCGCGCCCAGGCATCCTCGATGATGCACTGCACATGCATGTTGTAGGGCCGCCAGTCACTGTTACTGTCCGCACTGCCGCCCGACCACTCCCACTTAGTGCCTTTGCCCGCCGGCGAGCTGGGGGCATAGAACATGCGCCGCACCCCAATCGTGAGCAGGCCCGTCTCCGATTCGGCCTCCGACTCCTGGGTCATAGTGCGCACATTCACGTAGTACTGCTCCAGGCTGGGGTCTGCGTCGCTCAGCATCACTCGGGTGAGTTTCTTGGCGTGCGCCCGCTCCAGGTGCTGCGACACGGCCGGCGAGTAAGGCAGCCACTTGCCGCCGCGCGACTCGAACTCCCACACGCACACGGCATGGGTGTGATTGACGGGGGGCGGCGCAGGGCCAGTGCCAGGCCCTGCTGGTCCGCCCGCAGCGCTGCTGGCCATCGCGCACACACACACACCGATTGGAGGAGGGATTGAAGGATGCACTCACACCATTGCTACTAATGGTTCCGCGGAGCAATCTCTCTATTTAACTGCGTGGTAACTTTTGGTGACTTTTTGGCTGACACTGCGCTCTGCTCTGCCACTGACACTGCCACTGCGACTGCGTGCGACTACGAAGATGAGCACAAAATAAACAAAGAAATTAAAAATGGTGGCCTGGCTGGGCTGGTAAGTGCATCGCTAACTGGCGCTGCACTGCGTATGCATAATGGTTTCCGATTGGGAGAACAAATCACTCGATATGGGGCGAAAACTAACTTAATGCACACGGATTAACTGAGTGAGCCACTTAATTAATTAAGCATCTAGCGCAAGCGCAGGAGAGAAATTGTCGAAGAGAAGGTTTATCCGACCCTCAGAAATATACCAAAATATACCGTCTCATTTCAAAAATATACCGTAAATATACTGACGAATTCAAGTTCTATTATACATATTTCTCGTTTTTGATATTCAATCGAATATTACTAGCTAGATAGATCTCTCAACCCTGCCCACATATTTTAATCGAATAAATGAACCTACTTTCTACTTGACTGGTTTCTTTTAAATGCTTGCTTTTATTGGATTTTTAATAAAAAAAAGATTTTAGCGAAAAAGGTCAAACAAAAAAACCGTAATCTGAATAAGACTCTTAGCGCTGCCCACTAAGCTCTATCCCATTGATGAATAAATTTATTAGAAGATTGGCTTGTTTTTAGTCCTTTCTTGTATTGTATTTTGACTAAATCAAGGTTTAAACAAAAAAGTTAAAGACAAAAATAATGCAAACGTAGGTGAGTATAGAAGAGTATTTCTCACCACAAAATAAAAAGCAAATCAAAAAAAAAAATAAGACCAAGACCGAGCAAACTTGAGCGCCAAATAGAAATAGTTTGAAAATTGAAGAGCGACAAGGATTTAAATGAAATCCATTACAATAAATAATGAACGGTACGATATGAAAGAGCGAAAAATAAAAAAAAAAAACCCGTCGTATGGAAGCTACTAAGCCGTTTGTTCTTAAATATACCTTTAAAAAGTAAATTTAATAGATTAATCGCAGGCGAGAAATTGTCGACAAGGAGCAAAAAGAGCTAATAAATGCCAACGATTAAATACCACACAAAATACCAGACAGATGACAAAACAAAACGATACCACGGTTTTTGGTATTATTGCGATATTAAATGAATCAATGTTTTCGATCTTTAAAAAAATTAAATCGTATATGTCAATTGTAAATATTATATTTTTGAAATACATTTAATTAATTGCTCAAGAACCCACTGATACTTGATGCAAATTCTAGCTTATTCAACATATTTAGGAACCTTTCCTGCCCAGTTTTTTGAACATCTGGGAATACATTAGTAACGTTATGCAAAAGTTTTTTGAAATCTCCATTTTATTAGCCTTATTCTGAAATCAATTGAATAAATAAATTGCAATATTCCAGAAAAATAATATTATCCCATCCGATTTTGCAGTAATAATAAAAGAAAATAATTTCCGAAGCATATTTTTCAAGTAAAAATCGAGTTTAAAAGTTCGCGCTGGTTGTGTAATATATCGATTGTCATTATATCGATGTTGACACCGATTTTGTTCAGCTCTATCGCAACGAATAGCAGCTCTGAGCGAGAAAATAGCAACCCTGCAACGGCGCTGTCAAGCAGGCCATTTCCGCCGCTGCCACCATTCCTTTACCTTTTTGATCAGCAGACGTAAAGCTGGTCTTTTTTTGCGGGCCGCAAAATATCTGCTGTTTTCGCAAGCATCTTTCAATAAAACCGAGTGACAATGGTTGTTAAGAAGGTAAATAACGCGAGCAATTCGATGAACGCATTATTTCCATGTTAATACCAGTGCTTTTCAATGCAAAACGTTTTGTGTTTGTGTTATTTTTGTTTTGTTATTATTGTGATGTGAAATCGAAATTAATGAATATCCACTTCTCCCGGAACATTGCAGCCCAGGCCAAAGAAGAAGCCAGTGACCAAGAAGGTGGCTCCGGCTCCTCTGGCTGTCAAGAAACCAGTGGTCAAGAAGGTTGTCAACCAGCTCTTCGAGAAGCGTCCCAAGAACTTCGGCATCGGTAAGTGGACCCACCTGCATTTGCATTTGTGTACGTGTGAACTTCCACTGATGGATACTCTTATTTGCTTGCAGGCCAGAATGTTCAGCCCAAGCGCGACCTGTCCCGTTTCGTGCGTTGGCCTAAATACATTCGCGTCCAGCGCCAGAAGGCTGTGCTGCAGAAGCGTCTAAAGGTGCCCCCACCAATCCACCAGTTCAGCCAGAGCCTGGACAAGACCACCGCGGTCAAGCTATTCAAGCTGCTGGAGAAGTACCGCCCGGAGTCTCCCCTGGCCAAGAAGCAGCGCCTCAAGAAAATCGCCGAGGCTAAGGCCAAGGGCAAGGAGGTGGAGCCCAAGAAGAAGCCCAGCTATCTGTCGGCCGGCACCAACACCGTCACTAAGCTGATTGAGCAGAAGAAAGCCCAGTTGGTTGTGATCGCTCACGATGTTGATCCCCTGGAGGTGAGTGTTTATGCCCGTCAGTCCCCCGCGTCTCCCGTCTCTGACTAAATGATGTAGAACTTTGAATTTCTTCAACTGAAAGGCGCCCGCACTCTGTGTGAGAGGCACCCACCATGTGGAAAATTGACAGCTGATTTTGTTATTACCTTAGCCCTTTTGGTCTGAAATGGGTTAAGGCAGGCAAAGACCCAACGGCCACCATACTCCCCTACGAACACGTGCTTTGAGCGACCAAACTAATTTCTGTGTTTTGTTGCATTTCAGCTGGTGCTCTTCTTGCCCGCCTTGTGCCGCAAGATGGGTGTGCCCTACTGCATTGTGAAGGGCAAGGCTCGCCTGGGACGCCTCGTCCGCCGCAAGACCTGCACCACCCTGGCCCTGACCAGCGTTGACAACAACGACAAGGCCAACTTCAGCAAGGTCCTGGAGGCCGTCAAGACCAACTTCAACGAGCGCCACGAGGAGATCCGTCGTCACTGGGGCGGTGGCATCCTCGGCTCGAAGAGTCTTGCCCGCATCGCCAAGCTGGAGCGCGCCAAGGCCCGTGAGCTGGCCCAGAAGCAGGGTTAGAGAACACAGCCTAGCAGCAGCGTACAAGACCTATGCTATAAGGTGGAGACTTTAAGTACACATCAATGATTTGAACGGGCAATGACTATCTGCCTGTCCACTGAGAAACAATAAACTTTTAAGTGTACAATTTTTTTGTTTTTTTTTTTGTTTGTATGTGCGTGCGAGTGCTTGGACGAGCCAATCTCGGGTTGGCGGTCAATAAATCAACCATAACTTCTATCCTACATGTGAAACGGAAAAGTAGCAAATCGAAAGCCGAAACATTTTGTTTCCGAATCGATCTGTACCCTTTCCAGTTCAAATCCGTGAACCTTTAATACGATAGCTGTGGAAATAGACGGCATATTGTACTTTCAGCATACAAATTAATGTTTATTGATCGTTTGAATGGATTTGCTCTCAATATCTATCCATAAGATTAATTGCCTAATTATTAAATTTGGGCCATGGAATCTTTTACCTTAGGATGGCCAACAGGCGGACTATTCACAACGCAACTGTTGGCCAGTTGACCATTAAATACAATTGTGTCATAACAAAATTAGCAATTTGTTATAATTCAATGGAAAAAAACATGTTTTTTGTTGGGACAAACAAACCGTTCTGTGCGCTACTGCCACAGCTGGCAGCGCTCTGCCGCTTTGTTGGTCTGGCAGCGCTCTTTAGCTGTTCGGCCATGTCTGGCAACTCTCTGCGTCTATGGTCTTGGTCTGGCACCACTAGCCATAGCGGTAAATACGAAATTAAGTGAATTTTAGTTATATTTTTTAGGGATATATTATTTAAAAAACATTTACGACTAAAGGGAATCATATTTTGGAACGTTCCGTTTTAACAGCCCGCAGCTTGATGCTTTGAATGGCCTCGTGCAGGATGCTGAGGACCATGTCCACGCGTTCCACGGTGGCATTTTCGCCCATGAGGCCAATGCGAAAGACGTGCTCCACAGTGGGGCCCAGGCCACCGCTGATTTCCACGCTATATCTGTTGAAAAGGAAGCCATGGATGAGTTTGGTTAGTATGGCGCAATTATGCTCCCAGAAGATGGATTCTCAACTCACTTGCGCATGGCGTACTCTGCCACCTTCTTCCAGTCGACGCCGAACGGTACCTTGATGGTGTTGACGGTGGGCAGGCGCTCGTCCTCGCGCTGCACAAACATCTCAAGGCCTAGCTCCTCGATGCCCAGTTGCAGGCGACGCGAGCACTCCTGGTGCCGTCGCACCACCGACTTCAGGCCCACGGCACAGAAGTGCGCGAGAGCCTCGCGTAGGCCGTACAGCAGCGTGGTCGAGATGGTGTGATGATAGATCCGCGGCGTGCCGTAGCAGCCCCAGTACTGGCCGATGAGTAGGATATCGAAGTAGTAGACCTTCGGCTTGGTCTTGCGCTGCTTGATGTGGGTGAGGGCACGCTTGCTGAAGGAGATGGGCGTGAGGCCAGCGGGGCCGCCGAGCGACTTCTGCGATCCCGTATAAACCACATCCACCTTCCACTCGTCCATGAGGAACTCGGTGCCGCCCAGCGAGGCCACAGTGTCCACCACAAGGAAGCAGTCGAACTGACGGCACAGCTCGCCGATCTCCCGGATATTCTGCTGAATTATGCCCGTTGACGAGTCGCCCTGGGCCACAAAAAAGATACGTGGCCGGTGTGTCTCGAAGGCGAACTTTATCTCCTCATGGCTTAACGCACGCCCAAAACTGGCCTCCACAAGGCGTACATCAGCGCCATAGCGACGGGCCATGTCAGCGGCGCGATGTCCCCAAACGCCGGTAATGCCCAAAAGGACAACGTCTCCGTCCTCAATCAGATTGCAGAGTGACGCCTCCATGCCGGCGTGGCCAGCACCGCTGATGCACATGGTGGCGTCGTTTAGTGTCTGGAAAATGTACTTGATGCCCTCCTTAACCTCGTCCATAATCTGTGAAAAGAGAAAGACGCCTTGTACTTTGGATGCCAACGGAGCCACAGCTGATATGCCAGTCCAGCCACTGAGGCTTGCAGTCTTTACGAGCTTTCAGCTTGGCCTGCAGCCCGATCTTGTGTTAGATGGCGGTCTCCCTGCCTGCCCCCATCCGGATTGTAGTTCTAGGTGTATGTAGAGAGTAGGGTGCGACGTATTGAGAGATCGTTGCATTCGAGTACATTGCCTGCTTAAGATGGTGATGCTGACTAGGGTAATCTCTGACCCCCGCCCCTACTCATCCATTGTATCTCAATGTTTCATATCAGGCCTGCTGATAAGGTAACTGGAGCAACCTCAAAACGGTGCATAACATTAGTGCAAGACCAGTTCAACACTTGACTTGAATCCTGTTCAAAAAAAGATCACGGTATTGGGATCCGGTACCCACCTGCAGGCACTCTGGATGCATGTGGCCCAGGACCGGATTGCTCATGGCCTCCAGAACGCGATGCGAACAGTTCGAGGGTCCTGGACCCATCAGTGTCTTGCTGGGGACATATAGCGGGCGCTTGAGGACCAGAGGCGGTGGCACTTCCATTTCTCTCTCTCTGTTTTTGCCCTGGAAATCGGGGGTTTACGTAACCAGATCTCTCTGTTTAGGAAACGAACGGCTTATCACAGTTTTCGCGCGTACACACAACCACACACAAAAACACAAAACAGGTGCTGGATTGGATTCGTTCTCTGACAGATCTCAAGTGGCTCTCGCTGAAAGACCGAGATCTAACTGAAACGATTCGGTTGGACAATGGTGGCTTTATACGTGTATGGCTCATCCCGCTGGTGGCTGGCTGGCTGCTGGGCTTATCGATGAACGCACTTGAACATTATATTAAATGATGCGCTCTCTTCCTTATCAGATGGTTGGAGAGGGGGTGTTGGGCTCTGCTGGGAGCAACTACGTCGTTCGCACGAAATCTCCGTGTGATAGCCTTCGAAAGGTTGGACGGAATGGTCGCATTGTGAAATTCGCCGAACCTTGAGCGGTGAGGAGAGGAGAGGGGCGTGGAAAGTGGTGAAGGCCGATGGATGCAGGGTTTTGATGTGGCTTCGGCACCGACCAGAACCATACTGCTCGCCCAACTGATAAGATTCACGGATCGTCTTCTAAGTGCCTGATTTTTCCCACCAATCCAGCAGTGATTGGTGAGCATTATCTTTGGCATTAGTCGGAAATGCATTGACCAGGGGGTCAGTGTCGGCTATTAAGCCTGGTCAGCACAGTTTTCGTATTTCGTTTGTGGTGAAATTAGGTATTTAACAACCGCTGGCGGGGGCACGACTCACGTTAGTTCGTTCTCACAAGATATAAGAAAACGAACCCTTAATTTTTTTGGTTTGTCGGTTTAAAATTGAACAACAGCATATGTGCATACGTACATACATATATTGAAAAATCTACTGCTTATAATTTTTAATGGTAAACATTAAAATGTAAAATTAGTCAACAAAATAATAATTTATTTAAAATAAATCTTTATTTTCAGAAACGGCCAAAAACCATAACGATTTCCAGGACTATCACATAATTTATATCAATTCTAACTTTTACAAAACGTAATAAATCATTACATAAAATCGATATGGCAAAAATATGTATTAAAAGCCTGTTGAATGGTTATTTGATATGAATGCTACAAAGCTGCTGCTGCCACGTTTAGACAAGCCTTAAACGATTAATTGTTTATTTAACAGTTTCAAGACATGTCTATCGATATATTGATATCGGATGTCACGGTGCTATCGTCACACTGGATTTGTGTGTTAATACATATTAATTCATTAAATATATTATTTTCTTATTATATTTATCCCACAAAAGTATCGATGTTAATATTTCGCTATTCAAAAAACAAATAACGCGTCTTTCTTGCTTTTTTCCCTTTGTCTAGGATTTAATGTTCCTTGGTATGTTCGATGCGAGTTTCTATGCAAGTTGTATAGCTTGTACGTCCAATTTCCACGCTCCAACGGAAAGACCTCCATCAGACCTTCCAAATATCTGCTGTCTCCAGCGTCATCTTTATGTTATTATGGATGAAATATTACCCATTAAGGGAGCATTGTGGTCCGTTTCTTCTAAAGTGGTCCTTGCCAGCACCACTGCCTCTGTTCAGTAGAATCCAGTAAACATTTATCCGGCTGTCACTGTAGACACTGGATATGTTGTCGAGTTGTGTCCGGCGGCGGACTGGTTCGAGTGATCGTGTGTGGCGAGCTGGTTGGCCAACCACGATTCAACATTACCTTTATATATCTCACTTATCTGTGCTCTCGATGGAGCACTGTCCCATAACAACAACAACACAATAACCACAACCTACGCTACGGGCATGGCGTAGTCTTAATATAACGGATCTTTCGCTCCACGCTAGGGCTGCAGAGACTATCGATAGAATCGATGGTCTATAAATTTATATAAAATTATGTTAATATATAATATTATATTTATAATATACTACAATATATAATCACTGGGCTGGACTGTTCCGTTACGTTACAATATATGTGTAGCCATGTCGGCTCGTTGCTGTTTGCAACAGTCGATAGTGCTGTGTCGTGTCGATAACACCTTCTGACTAGGGCTGAATAACCATAACATATTATATATAAATAAATATTCTAACAAACTGGAAACTAAACCTTGCCATTGTTGATGAGCCCAGCAAGAACACAAGGAGCATGGAGCAGGGTGGTGACAAAATATATGACGACTTCTTCAACGGCTTGCGCAGGTGAGTAAGCAATAAGATGGAATCATCTTGGTCCTCAAGTAGCTCTTATCTGGTTTAATGTTAATCTTCAGCAACAATGGCCCACGGAACCTGAGCCAGATTTTCGAGGATGATGTCAAGCCGCTGCAGAATGAGTCCCGCAACATGCGGTACCAACCATCGTCGGTACTGAAGCACCAGCAGCGACAGCAACATAAAATTGAAAACAAAGAAAAGCCCAAGTCCGCTCTAAGCCAGAAGTGGAATGTGGAGCCCGGCGTTTGGACCACTGTGATAGCCAAGGTGGCGCACGCGTTCAGTGGCAGCAATAATATGGGGCGCGTGGGCGTGGCACTTTCCCTGCACGGCGATGGAATCGCCAAGTTAATTCTATACAAGACAAAGAGCAATGTGCTAGCCAGCGTGGTGCTAACGGAGGCGACCGCATCTGTGATTGAGCGCGAGTCCTACATACAGTTTTACGCTGATGACAAGCGCTTTTGGAGCCTGCGCTTCGACCTGGACGCGGATGAGCAGGATATTATCAAGGCGTTGCGCAAGTACGATCTGCCATTAACGTGTGACAGTGCCGCTTCCAGCTGTAGCTCGTCCTCGATCTCCGATCAAGACAATAAGCCGGAGGCAAATGTCAAAAAGAAGTCGACAACGCCGCAGCTTCAACTGCAGCCTCCCCAGCCACAGCCTCGGTCCCGTCTTGGTCCGAATGTAAGCAAAACACATCGCCCGTCCGAGGAGCGTCCATTGGCAGACGATGTTTTAATGACACCGGTGCCGCGCGCCATTGGGCTCAGTCGCAGCGGCAACTTGTTGCCGGTACGTCCAAACGAAGAGGAGATTCACGAAAGCCTAATAGTATCCAAGAGGCTGGGGGACTCTGGCAACGAGATGGACAAGAAAATGGACACCATACTGCAGGCGATGCATCTATTGGTAAGCGGCGCTAGCAGCAGTACACAACTGAATGAGAAGCATCAGATCACAATGGTCGCCGGTTCGGAGAACTCGCATGAAAGTGAGGACGAGCTGATCGAGCTGGAGCAGAAGTTACTCAATCTGAAGCGCGAGAATCGCACACTTGTGAAGAGCCTCCGGGCCAAAGAGCAGGCGCTGGAAGAGTTGCGTACGACCAGCAGTGCTCTCGGCGAGCAAAACAAAGAGCTAAAACAGCAGAACACTGCTCTACTGGCGGCCATGGCCAGCAAGGCGTACGAACAGGCCAACAGTACCTCCACTAGCTGCCTCAATTGCGAGCAATCCGCGAGCCTCATATCTGTGCTCAAGCGTCAGGTGGCGGCTCTACAGAGTGCCATGGAGACGACGGCTTGAGCAGATGCCGCTGGTGGTCACAGAAACAGACATTAGAGAGATCAAGCAATGCTATATTTTCGTATTATGTTTTCCAATGTATTAAGCGTGCTTTTAGGATAACGATTCGTGTATCCTTATCCCCATCAAATAGAATATATTTATATATACACTAAGAGAAAAACACATTTAGGTGGATTTTCCTTGTTTTTTTGATTTGTACAAACTATTTCTTGTATTTGCAGCATCTTGCAGTATCATCAAGTTTCTTCATCGCTTAAACTTAGGGGGTTGTACAAGTCTAGGGTTCAGTGTTTTTTGGGAGCTCGGAATTGGCATTATCCGGCAGTCTACAAAATTGATAACGTTTAGCTTGTCCCCTGATTCGTTCAGGAGGGGGTTATATTCGTTATCATCATTTAGTGTATCTTTAGCGTCGTATAAACAAGGTAGTACTCGTATAAAGGTAGTGATTCTTGTCACTGTGGAAGTGCATCGGTATCGTCTCTTGTCGGACTCTGTCTGTTGTCTGCTTCGACAGCTGACAAAGTAACTTATGGCCTAATGTATAACTCGTCGCGGCTTCGTCATTTGCTTACACCTAGTCGGAAATCAAACTAGATACGGATAGTGCTTTGGGCAGCCACACAGCCACAGCAGCCACAGCACCACAGCTGCTGGCAGGCATTCCTTCATCAGTTAGTTAATATGTAGTTAGTAGGTGTCGCTGTCGCTGAGGCTGCTCAGGTAGCTGCTTGCAGCTGGTGCGCTCGATCCGCCGGCACGGTGACGCTTGCGCTTCACTTTGGTCTTCTTGCGACGCAGCATGGCCATTTCCTCCGCCTTGCGCTTGTACTTGCCCTGCCGTTTCTTTTTGCGTCCGTATTCGTCCGATTCGCTCGTGCTGGACTCTTCGTTGTCGCTGGAATCCGATTCAGTGTCGCTACTGGATGACTCCGATGTGGATGTGTCCGAGGATGAGGAAGATGAGGTGCTGGAAGAGCGACGGCGCTTCGTCTTCCTGGTACTGCTACTGACACTGCTGCTGTGCTTCTTGGCCAGTTCTCTGTTGCCGCCGCCGCCACCGCTGCTACTGTTTGACTTACTGTTGGTCTTTCCGCCGCCGCCCTCGCTCTTCTTGTGCTTCTTGCTCTTGGTCTTCTTCTTCTTGCGCTTCTTGTGTCGCACTGATTTTTTTTGTTTCGTGTCAGTGGACTCCACCGCCGCCTTTTTATTCCTCTTCGAGCTACTGCTGCTGCGCTTCTTATCTTCTTTGCGTGCAGCAGTCGTGGTCGTAGTGATTGTTGTTGCTGTTGTCAGCGGCGGCTGCGGTGCAGCTGATGCCTCGACGCCGCCTTTCAGCTCCTTGGCCCTCAGCTCAGTCAGCGGCGTCAAGTAGTCCAATTCCGAGTCAGAGCTGGTGCTCTCCACATCGAGCAGTATCTCTTTGTTGGGGTCCACCTGAATGGAGAGCGAGGCGGCTTGTAAATGTGAGGGGGTCAACGTCAACGCTGCCAAACATGCGGCTTTTGCTTACCTTGAGAAAATTCCGGCATTGGTAAGTCAGGTGACCTGCGTAGCCGCATTTTTTGCAGGCCGCTCGCAAGGTGTCCTTGTTAGCGTTGGCCAGAGGAAAGTTCATGTTGTTTTCTGCTCGACTGCGCGCTACCGACAGTCCCTTTTTGCGTATTTTTTCGCCTTTTTGTTAGCGAACCATTTATTTTGCCCTCAAACTGAAATTGAAGATGAGGTATGTCGATATCAATCAAACGATATCGATTTGCGGTCAGTTGTTTGCATGCCTGCAGGCGCGGTATATCGCTATCTGCCTACCTGTCAGGATTGACCATCTCTAGTGGGCAATCCACCTTGCACTGGTAAGATATGATAATCATGGTATTAAGCCTGGAAAAATGAATTACTTTGTTTTGTAAGGCATAAAATGTTGTATTGTTAATACTGCCTCTAACCAATAACAATTGAATGTTGCCCAACCACGGCACATTGATAGCAGCTTAATTTAGCTCAGAGGGTGTGACGTCATCAAGATTGACTCTACTTGGTTGCGCCACCTTCAGACGGTCAGCGCTCTCCGTTGTGCTGGCAAAGACGGTGAAAGTGGGCTTATCGATAGTTTCGCAGCTCTAGTTCTTGTAAAATTAAAATGCTGTAATTTACGGAATTTTTTTTGCACAGAATAACTGTAGTTGCCTCATCACGTAGCACGGCGCGTGGCAAATCGAAGTATCAGCTGTCCCCTCCCCCCGGTTTCAGGCAGGTTCAGGCCCCACGAGCGCGCTACACCATCCCCCACGACGCTTTCACCATTTTCGCACGCCCACACAAAGCACGCAGAACGTAAAGTAGAGTACGTGCGTACATAGGTCGAGTGGAAAGAATCGGAGCAGCAGCGCAGTCAGCAAGATGCAACAGAACGCGGCCAGCAACCCGTTTTCGATGGCCACCTACGTGGACCGGCCGCAGATGGGGCTGGATGTGGAATTCGGCGCCGATCCGGCCAGCGGGGCAGCCTTCTTCCAGACCGATGGCCGCAAGCACGATGACCTGAAACAGATGCTAGACAGCAACAAGGACGGCCTCAAGCTGGAGGCCATGAAGCGTATCATTGGCATGATTGCGCGTGGTCGCGACGCCAGCGACCTCTTTCCGGCCGTCGTCAAGAACGTCGTCTCGAAAAACATCGAAGTGAAGAAGCTCGTCTACGTCTACCTGGTGCGCTATGCCGAGGAGCAGCAGGACCTTGCCCTGCTCTCCATCTCCACATTCCAGCGTGCCCTTAAAGACCCCAATCAGCTGATCAGAGCCTCGGCCCTGCGAGTGCTCTCCTCCATTCGGGTCAGCATGATAGTGCCGATTGTGATGCTGGCCATACGCGACAGCGCCGCCGATCTGAGTCCGTATGTCCGCAAAACAGCTGCCCATGCCATACCAAAACTCTACTCCCTGGATGCCGATCAAAAGGACGAGCTGGTCATGGTGATCGAGAAGCTGCTCTCGGACCGCACCACGCTGGTGGTGGGGTCAGCGGTGATGGCCTTCGACGAGGTAAGCACAAGCTTCCCCAGTTCCTGCGTTACAGAGTAACGATGATTCTTCATCCGATTTCAGGTCTGTCCGGAACGCGTAGATCTCATACACAAGAACTATCGCAAGCTCTGCAATCTTCTGGTGGACGTGGACGAGTGGGGTCAGGTGATAATCATCAATATGCTCACCCGCTATGCCCGCACACAGTTCGTCGATCCTAATGCCGATGAGGAGCTGCTCGACGGGGCCAGCGAGGCGCCACACAATGAGAGATTCTACGACGAGTCATCCAACAACTCCAACTCTTCCAACAGCGATGAAGCCTCCAGTGATGACGAGAAGACCAAATCGCGCCCTGCAAACAGCAGCAGCAACAACGGAGGAACTCCCAGCTCCCCGAGCAGCAGCTATCACATCGATGTGGACCATCGTCTGCTGCTGCGCCAAACGAAGCCGCTGCTTCAATCGCGCAATGCCTCTGTGGTGATGGCCGTGGCTCAGCTCTACCATCACGTGGCCCCCCGCAACGAGGTGCAGTTGATAGCCAAGGCACTCATTCGTCTGCTGCGCTCCCACAAGGAGGTGCAGAGCGTGGTACTCAACTGCATCGCCTCGATGTCCACCAAGCGCAAGGCAATCTTTGAGCCCCATTTGAAGTCGTTCTTTGTGCGCACCAGCGATCCCACGCACCTCAAGCTCCTCAAGCTGGACATACTGACCAATCTGGCGTCGGCGTCCAGCATCTCCCTGATCCTACGCGAATTCCAGACGTACATCTCTAGCAGCGACCGCTCCTTTGTGGCTGCCACCATACAGGCCATCGGCCGTTGTGCGGCTAGCATTAAGGAGGTAACCGAGACATGTCTCAGCGGCCTGGTGCATCTGCTATCCAATCACGATGGTGAGTACACAGCACAGCACATCACAGATCAGAGCTAATCTCTAATCAAATAACATCCCCCTTTGCAGAGCATGTGGTTGCCGAGAGTGTGGTGGTAATCAAGCGACTGCTGCAGACAAAGGCCGCCGAACACTTTGAGATTATCACACAAATGGCCAAGCTGATCGATTACATCAATGTGCCTGCGGCAAGGGCCGCCATCATTTGGCTGATTGGCGAATACAACGAAAAGGTACCGCTGATTGCGCCTGATGTGCTGCGCAAGATGGCCAAGTCGTTTGTGGACGAGCAGGATGTGGTCAAGCTGCAGGTGTTAAATCTGGGCGTGAAGCTCTATCTGACCAATCCGCAGCAGACGTCGCTGCTGTGCCAGTACGTCTTTACGCTGGCCCGCTACGATAACAACTACGATGTGCGCGATCGGGCCCGTTTCCTGCGCCAGTTCATCTTCCCGGCCAACGGCGCCAGCACCGTTCTCACGCAGAGCGCCCGCCAGGTTTTTCTGGCCAGCAAGCCGGCCCCCGTGCCGGAGAGCAAGTACCGTGATACCAACAACTTTCAGCTGGGCTCGCTCTCACACTATCTGAATATGCCGGCCACTGGATACAAGGAGCTGCCTACGTTCCCTGCCCTGGCGCCCGACTCGAGTGTGCGCAACATCCCTGGCTTTGTGCAGGAGAAGCTGCCCAACGAGAGTTCCCCGCTTTCGCACTCCAAGTCCGCCTCGGGCGGTAGCTCTCAGGGCGGCAGCAAAGAACCGCGCGAGAAGGGCTTCCTTTCCGAGTCGGAGGACAAGTCCTCGGCATATTCCGAGTCCAGTAGCGGTAGCGGCACTAGTGACAGTGCCTCCAACAGCGAGGAAAGCGAAAGCAGCGACGAGGAACAGCAGCAGAAGCCTAAGCCGAAGCCGAAACTGGTCAACAGTGAGCCCAAAAAGACGACAGCCGTGGAAAAGGAGTCGACAATGCTGATCGATGCAGGCAACAATGAAGTGGACCCCATTACCACGACGACCAGCAACAACATGAATATTAACAACAGAAGTGCTGCTGGCGATTCAGGAACCTCGGACAGCGGGGAATCCTCATCGTACAGCGGCAGCAGCAGCGGCAGCGATACGGGCAGCGAAAATGAACAGGAAGAGCCCAAGAAGGAGGAGAAGCAGCAGCAGGAGCAGCAACCATCGAAGGCGACTCTAGAGACAACAACAGCTGCCAAGCAGCAAAAAAGCAATCTGGATTTGTTACTCGATCTAGATGACATTCCGCCCATTGGTCCCGTGATGACGCCCTCGCTGGGTGGCTTCCTGACGCCGGGTAATCATATCAAAGCAAAATGTATCAAATTGAACTAGGTTCCTAATTGATTCGCATTCTCCCTTATAGGTACCCCCTTGATCGGCGGCCAGGCTGCCCCTTTGCAGCCGCAGCATGCCCGTAATCGGATCGAGTTGGTCGGACCGTCGCACATCGAGTTCAAGCACAAGGAGCTACTCAACAAGGTGAGCGGCCATGGTCTGCAGTTGGCCTACCGCTTTACGCGTGCCCCCCACCTGTACTCCTCGAGCATGTGCTCCATTGAGTTGCAGTTCCACAATCGCGGCGAGAAGGAGATCGCCAGCATCCGCCTGGGCCAGCAGACGCTGCCAGCGGGTATGCAGCTTAACGAATTTAATCCCGTGACGATGCTGCAGCCGCAGCAAATGGCCAGTGGCATCCTGGGTGTGGACTTCAATGATTCCACCCATGCCATTGACTTGGAGCTGCTGTCCAGCGCTGGCAGCTCGCGGGTTCAGCTGAAGCCGCCGGTGGGAGAACTGGTGAGGGCCGTCCAGATTGGGGAGAGCTGCCATCGCGAGGAGCGCGCCAAGCTGCGGGGCATGAACGAGCATCAGTGCGAGCTGCGCGGCATGCAGCGGGAGATGGTCGATGTGGCAGCGCTGAAGCAAAAAGTCTTCGAGTGCATCAATGTGGCCCACACGCACAGCTCGCCCACCGCCCAAGTGCACTGCTTTGCGGGCCAGACGCTCAGCTCGAAGAGCCTCGTCCTGCTCACCCTCCAATGGCAGACGGACGAGGCCCTCACACTGCTGGTCAACTGCGAGAAGATGGTCATCGGCTCCATGGTGCTCAACGAGCTCCGAAACGCGCTCCAGCTTAGCTTTGCCATGTGAGCAGCAGCGTCTAGCACTAGAATGAGCGAGACGGCGATAAGAAAGCGCGCCCAGAAGGGCAATCGAGAACAAATGATGAAAGCCTCTCACAACGTAAATCTAAGCATTCAAATAGCTATATATATACACATAAATCATGACGATGATTCTATTGCTTTTACTATTCCTATATACAAAAAAAAAAAACAAAAAAATGCAACTACAGCAAGTTCCATACTCCTCCAATTGCTGCCCCAGGTACCAGCTCCTCTTCCCTAGATAGATATGCGAGTGTGTGTACTATTTTGCTGTATGATTCTGTATATGTATGTATGTATGTCGCATGTGTCTCTGCACTATATATATTTGTACTATATACACGTGTATATACATATATGGTTATATCCGTATATGGGATACACTTTTACTTGGATAGTACTATCGTACCCGTACTCGTAACTCGTGTTTGATGTTGTAAATCTGTTGCCTTCGTGCTCTATGCGGCCTTCTTCAAAACGTAGCAAAGACAAACGAATATCGAATCTATATATATATTATTCATACTATTATTATATACAGCGCAAAAACTGAATGATATGAAATGAAATGAAAAACGTAATGAAAGAGTAATAAAAAATATACCAAATGTTAACGCATTCATCTGTCTGAGAAACAAAACATATGTACATATGTACATACATACATATGTATGTGCAAACAAGTAATGTGATCGGATTAAGTAAATTCCCTGCCTTGGTCTGGGAGTGTGAGTATGGCCCCATCACAAAAGAGTATTGTATCAAGAAAGTTATTATTTTCTAGGCCAGCGGTGGGCAGTCTTGCCGCTTTGGTAGCAGTCCAACAACAGAAATACCTTTATTAGTGAAACTTGAGTTGAGCAGCAATGTCATGCACACGACATGTATTTTACGTTTTTAAAGACTGAAAGATTTTGAATTTTATTAGAGAACTGTTGGGAGTATTATCAATATTTTATTATATCTTAACTGTCTTTATACATTATTGGGTTTCATATTAAAAATTCGCAGAACATTAATCATCCTTATTATCGTATTAAAGTACATTCAACGATTGACAATGAAATAGAAAAACTTAAAAATTGTAGGAACAATTTATTTGCGCTTGCGCGCGGTCTTCTTGACCAGAGCCTGGGGCGTTGAGGTGGCCTGGGCCACCAGCATATTGTCCAATAGATCTTTGTCCACATCAGGAAGACTCTTGCCTTCCATCTGCTTGACAGCTTTCACGCTCACTGCCTCACCCTTTGCCCTTTTTTGTATGGGCTTCTTTAGTTTTATGTTAATTTTAACGCTGCCCTTTCCTTTTCCCTTTCCCTTGCTAGTCTCTGGCGCTTCGGCAGCGTCATCATCATCATCAAATACCAATTTAGTCATTATTTTCTTAAGAGGCTTTTCAGATGGACCTGCCATTTCCACTTCCATAGCGGCCAGAACTGCAGCACCAGCGGCTGCTTTGCTCGATGTGGAAGCCACAGCGGCAACAGCACCCTCGTCCGTCTTCAATTTCTTTCTGGGCTGCAGGAGAGAAGGGGTGGAGAGAAGATTGTACATAGAAGATCATAGGGGAGAGGATTGTTTCTACTTACTTGATTAGTTTTTCTTTCTGAAGGCTTCGCAGGCTTTTCCTTCGCAGGCTTTTCCTTTCCTGGTTTAGCTTTGGGTTTCGGCTTAGCCTTTGCTTTATTCTCTTCGGCCGCCACCGCTTTCTTTGGTTTGGGCTTCACCTTCTTGGACGTAGCCTTGGCTTCTTCCTTGGCCTTGGCTTTCTCCTCTGCTTTCTTGGCCCGTTCCTGGGCCTTCTGCTCCGCCTTGGCCTTATTGGCTTTCATTTTTTGCATAGCTTTTCGTTCATTTTTCGTGGTTTCGGAAAGCTTGAATGAAAGTTTATTCTGCACCACTTGACCGCTGATCACGCTCTGCTTGAGCACCTTGTGCACCAGCAAAATTAAGCGTCGCTCGTTCTCCACCTTGTGGCCATTGCTCTTGAGGTACTTGACAATGGCCCGAACCGATGATCCACTTCTACTGTTCAGTGCTTGCAGTGCATCCAGTGCCATCGAGAGAACAGTGTCCTTACGCTTACGCGCCCGTCCGTCCTCAGGGGGCGGAGTGGGATATATAGGCGGGAATGCAGTATCCTCTTCGGAATCTGACATAGAATTCTCCTCCTCCTTGGAGGGCCCATTCACTGCCGGAGCTTTTGTCACTTCTACGGCTCCTTCTTCATCGTCTGTTTGCTCAGCATCTTCTTCATCGTCTGTTTGCTCAACATCTTCTTCATCGTCGGTTTGCACTGTTTTCTTCTGCACATCTGCAGGGCCTTCATCACTTTCGGACCCGAACACCGACCCCTCTGATTGGGACTCATTTCGTTCGGGAATTTCGTTTTCACTTTCTTCAGCCGTACTATTCATCTTGCTACAAATTTGTTTAACAATTACAATAATTTTACAGAGCACAAAATACACAAGACGTGGCGAACACTCAATTTATTGCGCAGTAATGCCAATGTCATACGGTAAAATCGACATATGTACATACATATGTATAATGCAATGGATAGACCAAAGAATACGACAAACTGGCAAAATGGTAGTCACAAAATGTGAGCACTCCAATAGTGCCAGAGATCCCAAAGCCAGAGAACGACAACTCTGAGAGGGAGAGTAACATTCTGCTTTCTTACTCGCTCTTCTTATTAGAAGTAGTTGATGCCTGGGCTTTACAGCGAGCTTTAACTGTAACTGTTCTCTGACTAAACAAGTGAAGTTCAATCTAAGCACTTAGGACATTGAAGGTCGATAGATCGGCCAGCAATTCAAACGCCGATTTCAGCAAAACCTGATATAATATTTCTATGCGATTAATTTTAGAATATTGTGAATTGTGCATTTCATAAAAATGGTTTTGATTTTACCTCCATATATTTTATATATTTTTATACCCGGTACTCGAAGAGTATAGGGGTATATTAGGTTTGTGGTTAAAGTGGATGTGGATGTGTGTAAAACCCAGCAGGAAGCTTTTTCGACACCATAGAGTAAATATATTCTTGATCAGCGTCATTGTCTGTCTCTCCGTCTGTTTTTCCGTCTTGTTTGACGCCTAGTTCTTAGAGACCATAGAGCTAGAGCAACAAAATGTTGTATCCAAAAGACGAAAATCAGTGGCATCCACAATAATCATAGAGAATGGCCTTATCTAGCATTTTGCCGAATCTGAATCTGAGCGGATTAATTTTATAGTCAGAAGGAATATTTGAAATTGCAGTGCCTACGCAACGCGTTCTCTCTCTCTTTCACACTCTACCTCGTTCAGTGCGAGTGAGTGAGATAAAACGGGAGGTAAAAAGAGACAAATGTTAAAAAATAATTTAAAGAAAATTAAAAATACATAAAATCTAAAATATAAAAAATCTCCCCAACGGTTCTACCCATTTATATAAAAGAAATGTTTGGCAATAAATCAATTTGTGCGAACACCGATACCAAGTGACGTATAAAATATGTTGTGTAAATAATATCAATCATAAGCTGACACATGATATGAAACTTATTTTTGACTGTTTTTCTTAAATATTTTGTAGTTAAGTAAATGGTATTGCATTTGGTAACCGTACAAATCAAAAATATATATAAAAAACCAAATTTTATGCTAATCATTAAATGAGTTAAGTTTTAAGAATCTAAAAAATGTTTATATATATAAATAGTTTATATAATAAATATAAATAAAATAAATATTTTTACTGATTTTTATTTTTTGACCTCAGTGGACCTTTCAGTGAAAATGGCTATATGTATTTTTATTTTGTCTTATGCATCATTGATAGAATACAAAATTGGCTTTAGTTTTCAATTATTTTGATGTTTATTCACGCTTGTTCTTTGTTGCTTTCTCCACTCACCAAACAGAATAGAATATAATTTAATATAAGAAGGCGGCAGGGCGTTGCATGCAGTTGCTGCTGTTCGTTCAAACGAAATTCATTAATCCGGTTGGGTCTTCATACATAGTAGTAGATCATGGATCATAGATACGTCGGGGGATAGTAGTGCATAAATAACAAATTTTTCAAATCCTACGCTTCTTTCTCTGCCTGTGTCCGTGTGTGGGTTGGCCCGGGGGTCCGGATATATCCGGATCTCCGGCTGTGGGAGTGTGTCTGCGTTCAGTGTCTTAAGTTGGGAATTCTGCACAATTAAAAAGCTCAATTTCATGCTTATCATATAAACGATTTTGGTTTTGGTCGCTAGGTAAGTTTAGTTTAGTTTTGTTTGGATTTGGAATTGCTACTGCACTTAAAAATCCCATTGATTCAAGTAGTACGAGTAGGTATTAGTAGTTGTAGTTGAGTTGAAGTGTTACGAGTAGAGGCTAGGCTAGGTTAGGTTCGGGTTCGGTTAGACTAGGCTTTTAGGCTTTTTTTTTTTGCTTTTGCTTTTGTTTTTGCACCCAAGTAAAGGGTTCAACGGATTGAAAATTGAAAGTTCGAAAACGATGAGTGAGTGATCAATGAGCGGGGAAGCTTCTAGTATGTTATCTAGTGTATTGTATGTATGTATTATGTAGTTCCTTATGATGCGGGAAATGGTGTGCATATATGGAGGGTTTAGGGGGCTATACTGGTAAGACAATGAGTAATAGTATGGTGTGCCATATGAGTAGATCTTTTTGGGTGGTAGATAGTATGGATATATAGGTTTTATATATATGTATATGTATGTGGGTATGTCGTATGTATTGTATTCCGGGGATTGTATAGTCTCGACCAGGCATAGAGCGTTTTTGTATACAATATAGTGTGGTATTATCGTTCTTTCCTCGTATGGAATCGTACTCGTATAATATCATATGCCGAGCCTTCAATTTGCTTTGCTTCATATAAAACTAGTTTGTTTTTTATTTTATTTTTTGTGTGGTTTTTTTTCTCTTTTAAATGTATATGTATGTATATGTATATGCCATGTATATGTATATATTGATTTATGTGTGTATGTCTAAGGATGATTTTCAATCACTTATTGTTACGTACGGTGTTTGGTATAACATGCTTTTTTGCTTGGACTAGCCGGACGAGATGGCCCGCAACTCTCGCCCTCTTCTGTTCGTTTTTCGTTCAATTTCGTTTCTACCGGTTTCGTATTCGTTAGTCGTATTCATCTTTATCCGTCTTCCGCTCTTTCTCTTGTCCTCTCTGTTTACTGTTTTTTTACTGTTTTACTGTTACATTAACATATCTGAAGCATATTTCATTTTATTGTGTGTTTGTTTCGGTTTATCTTTCAAGGGTCTAAGGGTGTAAGGGATTGTTTAGTTTTTCTATTAACGAGGAACGAAATTGCAGCGATTTGCAAGCGAAGCTTTTGCGGATGGTTGGAGGGAGAGGCGGTTCAAAACGGGGGGCCTAAAACGGACGGATTGGTACCGTTAGTGCGGTTAACCGTTCGATGCCTGCTGCTGTTGGTGCATTTCATACATACATATACATATGTATCGTTAGATTTGTTTTTCTTTTTTTCATTCATTCGTTCAGTTATCGCTATGCATAAGTATTCGACTGAGGTGCGGCTGCATTCCCGCTCAGAATCAGAGAATCGAGAGATCAGTTTTGGTTGGGTTGGTTGGGTGGGTGGGGGATGGGATGGGATGTGTGTGCACAGTCTACTCCGCTGTGACGTCAATTCCGTTCACCTTTCTGTTTGCGTCACCTCAATGCCCTTAAGTTCAATGCCCTGTGCCTGCTGTTGTTGGGTGTTTGTGTTTCGATTTTTTGATTACGCCATTATTATTCAGTTATATATGCAGTATATATACCTATATATTATATACTTGTGTGTGTGTGTTTGTATGTGTGTGGCTGTGTGTGTCTGTCTGTATGGCCCGATAGCTAAAGCATTTAATGTGTTTTTATCGACTCTGCTTAGTGGATTTAACTGCAGCTTCGTCTAAGGCCGGCAGGCAATGCTCTCCCCGTGCTTAGAGTTTCTTATACCAATATAGATAGTGTTCGCCGTCCTCGACCATTAGCTCATCGACACCTACGACACACAGAAGAAGAAGCCATGTAACAGAAGGGAAACAGGACATCATTCAAAGCTCCACACTTACCAACAGGCGCAATAAGCTGATTCCCAGGCGTATTGTTGGGATCGGGTAGTTCGGGCAATCGGTAGAGCAGCCAGTAGTGGTACCTAGTAGGGATCGGATCGGGACATTCGCTTATACGTACAGACTGCTTGAGGCCATAGTGGAGCTACCACCCATACTCACCCTCGCGGCTCCTCCTTCTTGCCATACAGGGTGTGCACGTAGTGGCCATTGGGCCATTCGCGCGCCTCGAAGATGAATCTGTGTCAATCGAACAGCAATAAGAACTTAAGTGCATCATTCGTCATCGGTCTTTCGGGAGCGCACTCACCTGGGATCCATTTCGGCCGCCTGGGTCATGGCCTTGAAGAAGCTCGTGTTCTTCGGCGAGACCAGGGATAGGGAGAAGGCCTCGCTCACATTGGAGCCCACCCAGAGCGTGTAGGTGTAGGAAATGTTCTTCGCGTCTGACTCCTCTGCCGAAGAGCTCAGGCCAAATGGTACCGCCAGCTTCGGCTCACCGTTCTCTGTGTGGCGAAAGGGAGACCGGAAGAGCTTAAGTGGAGGCGAGTCCTCAATGGGGAGGAACCTTACCCGTTGGATCGCTGCTCTCCCGTATCACATGATCGCACTGGAGGGCGCGCACGGCGCCGAGGCCCTTCCAGCCCAGGGCCAGAATAATGTCTGCGGTGAGGCCGACACCGATGTCCGGCTCCTGACCATCTTGGAGCGGCTCCTCGCTCCAGCCGCCGTCGGCCCGCTGTCGGCTGAGAATGTAGCGCGAGGCGGCCGTGCGGTTCCAGTGCCCGGCCGGATCGTACTCCAGGTCCTGCAGCGCCTGCATGGCCAGGGCCGTGCTGCGCAACGATCCGAAGCTACCGCGCTGGTCCTGCAGGCTGGCCAGGCCGCGGGCGGGCCGGCGGACAAAGTGCTGGAGATGGCGATGGCGGTGATCGGTGACGATGCACCGCAGGGCCAGTATGACCATGGCAATGGCGTCCACGCTCTGGTCCGTCACACCGCTTGCGATGTCCAGGAGGCGACGTATCTGCCGCTTCCGCACATGCGCCGCCGAACTGCAGGCGGACAGTGTCGTCAGGGCGAACTCGATGTCCTGGGCCGGCTCATGGTGCTGCAGTGTGGCAACCAGATCGTGGCCGTGGAAGTGCTTGGGGTCCTTGCACAGCGACCCGAGCGCCAGCACATAGCGCGCCAGCTTGTCCAGATTGAGGGGTTTGGGTAGCGTGTGGTGGCGGTCCAGCATCGCCAGTATCTCGATTTCCATTTCCTTCACGGACAGCGTGTCCTCCAGCTCTTGGATCACCTGCATGTGACCATCGGCACTCTCGTTGGGGTCCCGGCCGCCAGACAGCTCCTTGGCCAGGATCACCACATGGGTGTCGTTGCCCCAGCCGTAGTCCGAGGCCCGCTTCTCCTTTAGCCAGTCCAGCGCTCGCAGTATAGCTTCCTGTTCGCCCTTGGTGGGACTCGCTGAGCCGATGATCTCGTGCTGGTGAGGATCAGCGCCTCCTCCACCTGTGCCGTTGGAGCCGGATCCAGGGCCAGCCGTTGGTGGGGCCAACCCCTGTCCCAGGGGTGTGGCCTCCTGTTGATCCTGATGGGCAGTGGCCGTTGTGGTTGTGGCCACGCTTTGGTTGCTGTTCGCGTGGGAGTTGCTGTTGCTGTTATCGTTGTTGGTCTGTTCATCGCTGGAATCGTTGTTGCTGTTGCTGCTGCTCACCGTGAGATTATCAAAGTCCGTGGTTATCATGGCCGCCGCCGTACTGGAGCTGGCCGTGACAGCTGGAGCAGCCGCAGCAGCGGTGGAGGCAACTCCGGAGGCGGCAGTGACCACGGCACCATCAGAGGCTGGGGCAGGGGCAGGCACCGCTGCTAAAGTCACATTCTCCAGCGTCAGCGTCGACAGCGGCAGGCAGCCCACAAAGAAAAACAAAAGGAGTAAGAGCAGCAGCAGTGGAGGCGACGACATCTTGCTTGTGGGAGGTGGAGGGGTCTGCAAAGGAATAGAGGAGTAGTTCCACTTGTTATTCTTGTGCTCTCTTTTTTCAGAGAGGAGATGCGGAGGAGCTAAGGGTGCAGCGGGCAGACAGTGGAGAGGCGTTGCCTTGAACTCAATTTACAGCACGTTGCGACTCACACGTCATGCAATTTATCGATAATCGCGAACAGCGATCGATATGCAGGACATGGCACAAAGGCATCACAATCACATCAGCACCACAGTCACTCACTCACCCACTGGGCTCACCCTCAGCTACCTTACACCTTGCCACTGCTCCCTGCCATCCTTCAATCACCATCCACCACCCATCCAACCATCCATCCAACCATCCATCCATCCACCCATCACTTAGTCATCAAATTAAATAAATGCAAAGACTAGACAAAGTCCTTCATTTCATTCTTGTTGCTGTTGCTGTTGTGTTGTTCGTGTTGCTGTGTGCGTTGGGTGGTTGGGTGGTGGTTGAACTGTTCTGGGTGGCTCTGCGGTAGTGGTTCGGGTGCGGGTGCGCGTGCGGGTGCGGCAGCAATGCCATTCAATTGCCTCTGACAATAAAAGTTGAACAAAACAGCAGGCTTACATAATAATACAATAACAACAATCGCGGGGCGAGGGGGCTGCGATTGGCGACTGTCGACAACACCACGTCTACTTTCCTTTCGGACCGGACGAGCCTCGAACGAAATCGCTATCGCTATCGCAATCGCCTCAAGTCCAGCCTGGAGAGTATTATCCTTTAGGTTCCAGCTGCTGGGATGCTGGGGCACACTTCCTAGTTGCAATCTCAGGTTTTTGTTTCCCTGCACCCTTTTGCCTTGGGGGGAAGCCCTTCCCTGCCCTGTTCTGCCTGCCTGTGAGTGTCCCTTTTTTCTTTCTTTGTTCTCGAGCTTTTGCCAATTACACTTTTGGTTTTTATGATTTTTGTGGGGACGTTTTGGGGGGGCTGGCCAGCAGCTGTCTCACTCGCGTCGTGTCTAGCACTCGATTGGTATTTGGCGAATGGGACTTTTTCTCGCTTTCTTCTGTTTGGAATTCAATAATTTTCCGAGCTGAGGAATCGACAACGAAAACGTGACTGTGCGCGCAGCGTTGCCACTGTGCTGTCGGACAGGTGCAAGTGCAAGGATGTGCCGACCAGCTGGTAGCCTTGTCCGAAGGAGAACGAAATGAAATTCAAAATTACAACCGTCTCTATGTAAAGTATGTTAGCTCCACCTATCGTAATTTATGGGAAATTTTTGTAAAGAGGGAAGGGCTGTCACCCTCATTCGATTTACATACTTCGCGCCCAACTTCCTCTTCAAATAAGAAGAGTAGTCCATGAAATTTGAATTTTTTTTAGTCAATGCTATGAAATGCGCTTTCTTTTAAGGGGCCTACAAGACAATTTTGGTTACAAGACTTATAGAAAATGCATACAAAACTTTGAACAACTGCTCTGCTTTGTGTGTGATATCAAAAGAGCCCGTGGCTTCAGCTGTTAATTCTGAGAAGAATAAACAAGACGGAAAGGCAGGCAGACGTGGCTGTCGAGATTCGGCTATTGATGCAGGCAAAGAGGAGAAAGATTAATGGCTGGTTATGGTTTGAGAAGAGAAAGAGAGAGAGCGACTGATGCAGCGACATTAAAAAACCGTTTTGGAACAATGATAATAGATAAAATATTCTAAAATTTGAATTAAATATATCATTAGGTGGAAAGAGGATCATCCAAGTGCAAGAAATAACAGAAATATCTCTTTCTTTCTATGTTTTTCGCGACATTCATGACAAGAGCTGGCAAAATTCAAAGATATCGCAATCTGTGTTGCCTCACCTACCATCCTCCCCTCCCATTGTCCGTTTTGCGAACAGCCAAACCAAATGACAGCCCAGTAAAGAAACAAACGTGCCTTTTGCGAGAGTCCCGCAAAATGCTCGCGAACGAGCTCGCAAGCCAGCTTGTGTACAAGCGATTGGTTTTGTATCGCAAAACTCTCGCAAACGAGCTCGCAAGCAGGAGTTTTGCAATAGGAAAGTGCGCTGCGCCTGCGCTGCCGGTCCAAACACAAAAAAAAAAGCAGCAAGCCTTCGTGTGGGTCCGGCAATGCGCCTTCGGCTGTGTTCACGTGTCGACAGATTAGTGGGCGAGAAGTCATTAGTGTTTTTCTTTTTCGTAATCAGCGACCCCAAAAGCCCCCGAGTGACGAGTTTCAAGCAAATCCGATTCATTTTTCAAATGAGTTTCCACCATGTTTCGACCATATTGGTTTTATGAGGCTAGAAAAGAAAAAATACCGGACGTGACGGAGCAAATCTGGATTCGTGTTCAAGGCCCCAAAATACATAGGGATATGATACTCTGGTCAGCCGCCCACGACACTTTTTTTTTGTGGGGCTGTGTTATTTATAAAACAAATAAAATGTCATACAAACAAAAAAGCCGAACATATGTATGTATATCGGAGAGGCTGGACATGTTCAAACAGCTACTGGAGATTTTTAGGTTAGACTGAATTATGGGCAAAACATTTCGGAACCCGAATTCGAACAAAATGCATGACTTTCCGAAAGTAATGCATTCCAGTTTACTGAACACGAGGAAAGTAATAAATTTCCATTTACTGAACATTCCAGTTCAACAGACTTTAATAATCGGTTAGCTAAGTGGCTGCCTGCTAATAATGTCATCAATATGGCAATCTTCCTGAGGTGGCAAGGTTCCTACCACGAGGTGTACGTACTAACGAAACGAATTGTAGAGCTATGCGAGTATGTTCTTTACTATATTAAAGACTCTTTAAATATTAATGTAATTTAGTGGCTGGGATATTTGCAGGTAATTCGAAGTCATGAGATCCCAATGTTTATTGGCAAGAATTTGTTTGCGAGTTAGGAGAATTAATAAAGGAAGAAATGATATTTCAATATATGTGTATCTGAATATCTATAAAAGTACGTATATGCGATGCGCCAGCCCGCATATATGGGGTGTGAAATATCATTCGGGTTTTTATTCTTGCAACTAGTGCATTCAAAAAGGAGAAACTTTCTGCAACCGTCTAATTTTCAAGAAATCAATTAACCCACCACGAATCAATGATAACTTTCGAAATCGTATTCAACCTGAAAACCACAACATCCAAGGCAAACTTGTTCTTGAAAATATGCCAATAGATATGGTAAATCAGTTTCCCTTAGACAACATACACGTATTTTATCTTGGCGTCATGAAATCGGTCCTAATGGCTGAAGTAAGAGCTGAAGGTCATACATTTTCTTTGAATCGGGACTCCATAGCTTCCCTTAAGATTAAACTCATGTCTTTTAACAATTTTTTACCTAGGGATAAATTTATATATATATATATATGTATATATAGTACAGGGATCTGAGCTTACCCGGAAACCCGGCTTCGATCGCCATTGCCAATTATAGAAGATTCAGGAGATGCGACATGTTCTACAAATTAATTAATTTAATTTATCTTTAGGTTTTGAATCAATTAAAAGAGAGCTGAGTAAGATTATGTTGTGACAGCAACAAGTCAACAACAAAGCCTTTCGAGGAGTTTTTTCATTACAGATATTTTGCTGTTTTTTCAATTCAGAAATCAAACGGACCAGAGAACAACAATACAATACAGCACAACATATAGAAAGATGGGAAACGCATATTTACAAACAAATATAAAATAGAAGTAGTACCGAGTAGTACTCACGACCAGTGATCAGTGTTGCCAGTTTAGCCTTTTTAAGGCTAGATATAGCTTATTTGAAAACGGATATGCTTGGAAAATTTTGAAAATTCTTATAGCCTCAAATCTGGTTTTTTTTTAATCCCCTAAAAAATTCACTTAGTCCCTTGGCAAATTACGGAGGACACTATAAAGCTTTGGTCAGAAGTACATACTGATTTATAGAGATGCTGGCAAAAACAAACCTTTTGAAGAAATCGCTTTATTTGCCATTGGAATTTGAAGTCTAGGTGGTCAAATGCTGTGATTGAACGGGTATTCAGTCAAATGAATATCGTTAAGACCAAACTTACGAACAAAATGACTGTTAAGTCATTAAACTTAATATTAAATATAAGGTTTGTTTTAGAAATATTTAATTGTTGGATGTATACCACTGAAATTCGATTGAAATTTGACGGATATGGATTGCGCCCTCATGGCAAACCACCAATTACCGGGATATATTTAAATTTAATACGTTACAGCGATAAATTTACCGATTCGAGTAAAAGCGAATTCGATGAAATAAAGATACAATAAGAAATCAATATATCTTTGTGCTGTTTTATTTGTAGCCTATTTTTTACAATTTTTAGCTTGTTCTAGCCTGTATTTTTGCGAAATCTAGCATATTTTGACGGTCAAAATCTGGCAGCAATGCCAGCATTTCAGCGGATTTCAGGCTATGACTGAACTTTTTTTCTAGGCCGCATTTCTGTTTATTTCTCTTCCACCTTTCATAGACAATGTGGTGGAGCAGTTAATAAAACAAGATTATTAATGTGTGTAGATTTATTATAAACGCTCGAGGGTGGTAGGGACTGGCTTCATTATGGAACAACATTGTTCCCGTTACGTTCAACTTATGAGAAGCGCAGAGTTTGAGTTCGCTTTGGTCGATCCCGTTACTTAGTATGAGCCATAATGAAATTATACAAGGTAGTCTTGTCGATGCCTGTTGATGCGGAAGGTTATTTGGACGAATTTCATGACATATGTATTCTTAACCCTTACGACCCGACAACAAAAAAATGACATATAGCATATTATATTAAACAAATGGTATATTAAAATTAAAATCAAAGAATTACAAGTACAATTTATATATTATCACTAACCATACAGTATATACTGTATGGTTAGTGGTTGTACTTTGTACAATTGAAAATTAAATGCGAGGCGTTATCGATACTATCGCATGTATCACATATGTTACTAGGAACTACATGCATTTTGGCGAGAGTGTGCCTATCGAATGCGTTACCACTAAGCAGTCTGTTGATTCTTTTAGCGTCAATGGCTTTAAGTTTAGTTTTATTTAGTAACCACGGTTTGGATGATGTTGAGGGGAAAAGCGAGCAGTAACCTCGGTGCTTGATACTAGCGAACTCGGCGTATTCTCTCTCCCATTCTGCTTTTAAGATTCTGTGTATTTCGCACATATCGTCTTTAAGGTTCCATTTGACCACTGTGTATTTTCCTCGTCTGTGGGCTTCTTTTGCTGCTGCGTCGACTGAAGTGTTCTGAGGGATGTTAGCGTGTCCGGGAATGTAGTGAACCTCTACAGTTCTTAGATGTGGATTTTGTTGGATCTTTTCTCTGATTTTGTAGGCGATAAAGTTATCCTGAATGTTCTTCGCCAGAATGAGGGCCCCGTTTTTGCTGTCTGTCAGGAGCGCGACACGAGGAAAATTGTACAAAATAGCATGGTCCAATGCCTTCTCGATAGCAAGGAGCTCGGCGGACAACGAGGAAAGGGTTTTGTGCGTGTAATAGCTATCTAAAAAACCTGTCCTATCGTGCAGGAAAGCGGCGCTGGAATGCCCATCTGCGACTGACCCATCCGTGTAATAGATTTCAAAACCACCCTTTGTCAGCTGATCCTTCTTTTCCCCGTGGAGTAGCATGATACCTGCCTGGTCTATAGCGTGCTTGTTGGGTGCAGAACCCTTGAAAAATTCTAAGTCGGAGCTAATTTTATTGCAAAATGAAGCTGTGTTCTCGAAAACCTCAACTCTATCTATTATGCTGCCAAACTCCCGATATGCCTTAGCGTAGCCCGTGTTTAAATCCCTATTTGCTGACACTGTTTCACTTGCTGGGAGATTAAATGCAAACACCTTAACCAACTCTTTCGCCGCCAGGAATCTCATCCTGTAGTCCGGGGGAAGTTCTCCTGCCATGTGATATATGATAGGAACGGGAGTGCAGATTATCAGACCCAGCGACTTTCTGAGGTGATGGTTGAAGTGGGATTTGATTTTGGCCAAGGCAGATTTGGACAGGTTGCAGAATGATGAACACGCGTACTCTAGCCTACTTCTGACA